GACTGAAACAATCATTTGCGCCATGATTTGACTCTGGGCCACTTTGGTGTTTTTCAGCATTGTGACCAGATCAAGTTTTTCCTCTAAAAACATCGAAACATTCACACTGAGGATATTATTGGATGTGTAGCACAGAGATCTGTGAGTGCCACTGATGCTGTGGTGAGAGCAGACAGTCTACAGATGAGGATGATATGAGGCCTTTTTTATAACGTCGCTGCTCTCAAAGCCACAAGAAACGCCTCAGTGCATCATCAGATATTTTCTTTATGTCAACATGTAGAGTTACGAGCCACACAGGCTAAAAATTGCCACCTTTCCAACCCCTCTGGTAAAGAAATTATATAAAAATCGCTGTTTAATAAATCAGGACGCCATAAAAAACAAAGAAAACCACACCAGGACTCCTGCTTATGAGCGGTGAAAAAAAACGACGGATTTTTTCGGTCATTGAACGCCCCTTTGTAAGTCACGCGGAAGCGCAACATTTCAGCGTGGAGGAAAACAGCGTTTCAGACCCGAACAAAAGCAGAACGGTCTTTGAGAAACAAACAGTCCCAAAAAGTTGATGCTGTTCATCTGGACGTCGTGTTTTCAGTGGGAGAAACGTTTCACCGCTCATCTAAATGACTTCTTCAGCCTCAGCTGACTGCAGGTTTCCCCAACTTTGAAACAGGACATCTGCATAATGCCTGATGCTAACACCACCGACTAACAACGGGCCGCGAGGTCAGTGTCTGATTATAAACACGCAAACTGTCAAGATCATTGATCAGTGGCCCTGAGTAACACGTACAGAGAGTTGGCCTCACAGCCCATTGTTAGTCAGTGCTGCTGGTGATCAAATAGGCAAATTTAAGCGATCACTTTACCGGACTGAGGGATGAGTTGGTGTCTGCGCTCCTTCTTCTTTGATCGGAGTTTAACTACAGTGGATGAGAAACATGAGGAGGCCCTGCATAGTTTAAGAAAACGCCTCACAGCTGTCACTGAGCGCCGGGTAAAGCAGCTCAGTGACCGAGCAAGAGCGCTGTTTTTCCGCAGCTCTTAAATGTTGCGCACACCCGTGACGCCTAATGCAGCGTTCAAAGACCCCGCCAAAATGTTGTTTTTTCGCTGCTCACATGAAGGCTTTCAAACACCACCCGCTGGCGCTAAATACGGTGTCCTGGCGGGGTTTTCACCAACCTTAACTGCGTCCTGATTTATTAAATGGCGATTTTTACATCATTTCTTAACCAGACGAATTGGAAAAGTGTCGAATGTTGGCCTAGACGACACCACAGGGCTGTGATCATGTAATTATGTCTGTACTGTGGATGAGTTTGGAGATGAGCCTCAGTATTTTTAATTCAGTTCGTCTCATTTATTTTGTTCGAGGGAAAGTTGATTAAAGTTTTTTACTTGAGGATTTAGTCGCTGTGAGTTTTGTGGGTTAAAGTGAGGAAACATGTCGCGTTAAAGAGGACGTGAAACAGCACATTTTACAGCTTTGACACAAAATTAAGAGCGTTGTGATTTATTCTGGGAGAAACGTTGGATTCAAAGTGATTCTTGTTTATAGTCATTTTCCTGCTCGCTGATTTGTGGTCGTTACAGCACTCATTACGTCACCAGGTCGGCTGGTTGGGCGGCGCTCCCAGGAGAGGTGAGCTCATCAGAAACTATAAAATGGCGGAAGAGGTGAGCTCATCAAAAACTATAAAATGGCGGAAGAGGTGAGCTCATCAAAAACTATAAAATGGTGGAAGAGGCGAACTCATCAAAAACTATAAAATGGCGGAAGAGGCGAGCTCATCAGAAACTATAAAATGGCGGAAGAGATGAGCTCATCAAAAACTATAAAATGGTGGAAGAGGTGAACTCATCAAAAACTATAAAATGGCGGAAGAGGTGAGCTCATCAAAAACTATAAAATGGTGGAAGAGGTGAGCTCATTAAAAACTATAAAATGGCGGAAGATGAAGCCGACAGCTGTTTTGATGCCCCGCCCACACACCTTACAGCACACGCTTTGGAGCCAGTGAGGAGGAGAGAGCGTGACCACAGGAAACAGCTGAGAGGATCAGCAGGTGGATCGAGCAGGTGAGGAGAGGGCGAGCGACACCACCTGACGCGTGCGTGAACGCTGCAGGGAGACGGCGAGCGAGTCGAGCTGCTGTCAGGAAGCTGCTGTGGATCCAGCAGGTGCTGACGGTCTGACATCTGTACGTCACAAAGTCGTCTCTAACCTGTCGTCTCCTTTTCTTTATGAAGTCTGACAGAAGGTTGGAAAACGAGCAGCTGCACCACCACGACTCAGAGGTGAACTACACCGACTCAACCTGACAAAGATCATTTACTGATCAACTGTTAGCGTCCAGTTTGTTTCTGCTCTCATTGTAGCTGCAGAACAACGATGATGCTGGACTCAGTTATGCTGGACTCAAAGCCTCTGATACACGGAGCATCGTTTCATCTTTCAATCTTTAAACTAATTTAGTTTCAGTAATTATTTCTCTACATCAGTCAAAACTCTACACAAACAGTAGCAGCTGTAATAAACTGATGGCTGCTACATCCACAGATTTAACCTGCACGGAGGAAGAAGACGAGGCTGCCCCGTCTCTCTGTACCTCTTCCTGTTAGTGTTTTATCAGACGAGTAAAATCAGGTGATGTAAAAGGATCTGCGTCACTGGCAGAGAATTAATCGTAGCACAGCTGACGACACCACTCTGATTTAGACAAATGAAGGTCAAGTCTGAGCTGCTGCAGTGAACAGTTTCTCCAAAGCTTCCAGATTTTACCTGAATATTAATAAACGTGAACTCATCACAGACGCTCCAAATCTGACCTTTGTAATATCTCCATGAAACAACAGCTTCCATATTTAAGGATGTGAATCACTGAGGATGAAAAGAATGAATCTAAGTCTGATCCCTCCTACAAAAAGAGTTAAAAACAAGCTCAGCTCTCTCACTGAGAGGAAGAGTTTTGACTAAAGCAGGAATCTCTGGTGTCCCCGAGGCAGCGCTGGCTCTACGCCTCCATAATAAACCATCAAAGACGCTGACAGGCTGCTCTTCAGCTTCATGCTTATAAACAGTACATTTGCATAATGACTGAGTAACAATGGGCTGTGATCAGTTTCATGATCATAAATTTGTCATGATGATTGACCAGTGACATGAGTACCATTCAGAGAGTTGGGGAACAGCCTCACAGCCCATTGTTAGTCAGTGGTGCTGGTGTCAATAGATAAAATAGACAAACTTATGTGATCACAATGCTCAAAGTGAAATTCAGTCTCCTCTCCTTCTTTGATTGGAGTTTAAACCACCAGGAGGCCCTGAAAACGCTCTCAGCTGTCACAGAGCTCAGTGAACGGCCAAGAACGCTGTTTTTTCCGTCGTTCGTAAACGTTGCGCAGCCTCAAGTGGAGTTCAATCGGGGTTTTCGTTGAGTTTTACAGCGACCTGATTTAAAAACGCCGCCTTAAATAATCAACCTTCAGCCACTTTATGGGAAATTTAAGACATTTTAACGCTTTAATTTCTCCATTATATTTTCAGGCTGTTGTCTATTAGTAAAAAATTAAATAAATCTGGGACCAAAAATATTCAACATAAACTGAAAGTCAAACTTAATGTCATTTAAAAATGAGACAAAAATCAGTTTGAAATGTTAAAAAATAATCTGATTTTCATGACAGATCTCAGCTTGTATCGTCTGTCTGTTAGTTTGTGTTTCTTATTTTTGGTCTAATTCTCACTAAACTCTTGTGCTATTAGACTCAAACTGAAAGTTAATATTTGTTTATTTTCCACAGAGTAACTTTCATGTATTTATGATATATTTATGGAACTTCTGCTAATGAAAGATAATCTTGGGAACATTTCCTCATGAAAACAGGCTGAATGTTTGCTCCATTTTCACAATATTTGATGTATTTAGTTAAACATATTTAGTTATTAATGAGGATTTTTGCTGGTTTACAAAATCATCTCAGAAAACAGTGAATTTCCTCATAAATAACTTAAATATAAGTGACAGTGATCTTCAGCACATTAAAGTGTTACTCTCACATAAATGTCCATTAAGATGATTCATAAAGAGGGCATGTTCACTGAGCCGTCTCTACTTTCACTTTTTCCCATTTTTATATTAAAGATAACATCAGTATGTGTTTAATGGAATCTGAAAATATTATCTGAGGCAAATGTAAAAACTGTGATGTCCCAGCACATTTACCATCTACTCTGGATGATAAATTATGTGTCTGACATATTTCCTTTTTTATAATTTTTTACATGTGATTATTTGTAAGGACGATTAAACTGAGACACGGAGCGACTTCCTGTGAGCTGCAGGAACAGACAAACACAGTAAGATGGATCCTGAGCAGCAAACTCAGATCCTGATCCTGGGTTTAAGTTTCCATCCTCTGAAACTCTGCAGCCTCCTATCGTTCTAACAGAATCGTCTAACTGGGAGAAACTACACACCAGACTATGTTGAGGTTTTTCTAGAAGCTTCCACTGAAGGAGAGTTTCAGTCCAGGATTGTTTTTATTAAAAGTCAAATATCAGTTCACAGTAATTGTAAAACAAATAAATCTCTGATTATTTAGATCCTGCAGGAGATTATTTTCTGATTAATCAGTTCATTGAGAAATTGCAGCAAAAACAACCGTCAAAGTTTCAGAGACAAAAATCCTAAATATAAACAGAAAACTTCAAATATAATAAATTTTTACTTTATTATTTTGATTAATTTGATCAACTAATCAGTTAACTGACAGTTTATATCAGTTCATACAAACATGATCATTAAAGCTGTTTGGATTAAATTAAAGCTTCACAGACTGTAGTTCTACATTTATTATGAATTATTATGTTAATAATTTTAATCTGTAATCTGAATGAAACATTTAATGTGTGCAAACCTGTTTACTACTGTAAACAAAACACACTGAAAACATTAACAGCAAATATCAGTAAAAATGAAACATGAACAAACCTCCAGTTTGGTTGAAGCGCTGCTTTGCAGTGTCAATGTTGGCTTTGAACAGCTGCTGGTGACCCTTTCTTACTTCAGTCCCTCTCTCCCAGTACTGCTGATCTGTGTTCCTGGCAATCCAGTCCTGTTTGGGAACATTTTTCTCCGTGTCGCTGTCATAATGAACAATTTGAACATCATCAACCATCCCAACAGACACAAACTCTGGGAAGTTTGGGACTTGAGAGGATCCAGTGTAGAAATACTTCAGCGAGTGGGTCACTGTAAGAAACAGTTAATGTTGTGAGATTTCAGGAACACAGACTTATAAATCACATTATTTTTTAAATAACACAACAAGAAAAACTACAGCACATTAAAGACATCCTGTAATAATCCTGCTGTCCCTTCAATAAACACAAAATAGATTTATAAACAGATATTCAGTGTTTATTGTCATTTTATGATCATCTTTTCTTCAAAACTGTAATTTTGTGTTTTGCAACAGATTCTAGTTTGAACCTGATTTACACAGAAAGCTTTAAAGTTTTAAAACTGGTGTTTTTATCCTTCAGTTTAGTTTAATTCAGTTTTCATGATTAATGGTTTGAACTCTTTATAACTTTAATTTGACTATATTTTTTTATTTTCAGTGTTAAAGAAAATTCACATTATTTTTAATCTGTTTTGCTTTTGTTAGCCGCTGTATGAACCGTAAAGTTTCTTCTTTCCTTTTTCTGAATCAAGCAGCAGGACTTCTAAAGTGAGTTGTTTTCTTTTTTGTTTCCGTTTTTTATATTATAAATTATATGAATTTGATTTCATTGTTTTGATGTGACTGTCCAGACTTTTTCTTTTCATAATTTCTGTAATGGGTTTCCCATGCTTCTTCTTTGTTTGTATTATTTTCATAGACTTTTGTCAATTAATGCACATTCAAAATTGTTACAGAAATTTTCCAATATGTTTGATCAATAATATTATCAATAAAAAGCTAATGTTAAGTAAATATTGTTGGGGGAATATTATCTTAAGCATTTTGATGTTATATTTTATTCTGTAATCAGGTTTGCAGGAGAGTTTTCATTTACATGGATTTGTTTGTTTGTGTTACTGAACAACGCACATAGTAGTTTAAAACGCTTCTCATTAGCGCCCCCTGGTGGAGGAGCGAGTGTGTTGCAAAACCTTTCAGGAATTTCTCACCTGCAGCTTCTTATTGATCATTCAGCAGTCATACCAAAATTAGTTCATGATGGTATGTGTAGTGTACTCACACTTTACATACATAAACTATCTGATATTATGAAGTAATAATGATTTAATTTGTATCGCAATTTAGTTCATTTGAATTCTATTTAATTTTATTTATACACGTCACAACAAAAGTCACCTCATTGAGCTGTTAATTAAGCAATAACACCAGAAAAACAGTGAACTTCATATCCGGGTGTAACTACTCGTTAGTTACGATATGTGTGCGCATGTTCTTCAAACAGAAAATATTCACAAGCATAAAACTGGTGAATAATACTGAAGACAATACAAAGCAGGAGTCTTTTAATAGACTACATCAAATGACATGTGGCTCTTCATATACTGAACAAATAATTTTTAAATAATAATAAAATAAAAATAATATTTATAAAGATACTTAAATGAACTTTAGTTAACTTTAATGAGCAGCTGTTGTGTGAAAATGTTTTAAACTTTCATGAAAATTAAAATAGTACTTGGTTTTTAAAATAAACGTTTTAATTACTGTCACCAGATTATCATCAGACCTCCTCACTCATCTTTTATTTGTTGGACTGTTTGGAAACACAGCAGAGCCACAACCTTTAAAAATGCGTCATGAACGATTTAAAGACGGAAATCATCAAATAGTTTTGGACAGAAATCGCCTTGTTTTAATCTTTGCCTTCATCTAAACTTTAATGTTTATTATTAGGTATTGAAGAGATAAACAGACGATTTAACTACCTGTATAATATAATCGATTGTTTCTAAACATGGACATTTTCTACTAGGATCCATTACAACTAAATGTTTAGCGTACAGGAAGTTTCAGGGGAGCAAACAGTCCGTCCATTTGTCTTTCAAAACACATAAATCTGACATAGAAAAACACAAAAAATATAAAAGTCAAACTGACCTGCTGCTGCCCCCTGAAATCCCAGGAGAAGAAAGAAGATGAAGATCGTCATTGTGACCATAAACATCCAAACCTTCAACAGACTTTGTGTGTTCGCTTGTCTAGAAAAAGCTAAAATGGAGAACCAGGAGAAACGTCACCATTAGCCTCGATCAGAGCCAATAGGGATTTACTCTGAGAGTAAACGTCACTGAAATCAACGAAACTGAAAGTAAAATATCTTCATATGAACCAGTTTATCACGAAAGGAAGGTTAGTTTCAACAAACAAGTTAAAGTACTGAGAACAGTAACTAACAGGTAACCGACAAGGTCACGACAGAAGTACAGCACAGCAATCCTGAGTTTGAGAGTTTTCTCTCGAGAGAGAGACTATCTGTGGATCAGTTTGTGCTGGCACCCTGGACAGCTAGCAATCATTCCTTTTGTTTGTAACCCTGTTTTGCCTTCACCGTAAATAAACACAATGTCACTGAACCTTTGAGTCTCACACTCTTGAGTCCAATCCTTTCCAGTGTCCATGACAGTTTAATCGATTAACAGAGAAATTGTAGAAAAAACAGGAACCTGTAAATATTTGGAGTTTAGTTGGATGAAATACTTTCATCATGATTTAATCATCAAACCTGCTGTTGGTTAATTTTCCTTTGACCATCTAATTGAGTATTTGGTTCAAGACTAAGCCACTGTGGTCAAGGCAAGTTAATACCATCTAAACAAGAGTTCGGACTGTGATCTAAATGACAAATTTTCAATGTACTGCAAAAACAAACAAAAAAACATTGACAGCATGTGTCAGTAAAAACAACAACAAACCTCCAGTTTGGTTGAAGCGCTGCTTTAAATTATTAATGGAGGGAAAAACGCAGTGTTCCTCTCCCAGTGCTGTGTATCTGCTGCATCGTTCATCCACTGCTGTTTGGGTTCAGCTCTCCTGGTGCTGCTGTCATAACGAATCATCTGAACTTCATCAATCATCCCCGTGGATCCAGCTCTGGGGACTCGGGGTCCATGAGCAGTGTGGGCTATTATTATTATTATTATTATTATTATTATTTGGTGTGTGTTTCATCTACACTGCTGCTGTTCTCTGTCCACATTTGTATGTAGGCAGGTGTGTGTGTGTGTGCATGTGATGTGTAGCTGTTTTCTGTGGCCAAGTCACAGCCACCTGGCCACGCCCGAGGTCCTTGCCACACACCTGCTGCTGATCTGGGCTCGTCGGGGGAGCTGTTTAGGAGAGCGATGGAGCTTCCACCGACGCGGGATTATTGCGTTAGACTTCACGTCAGTCTTCTAGTTTAGTTTAAAAGTCAGTGAGTGTATGTCTGCTGGGATTAAGTGTTTTAACGGCTGTCTCTATTGTTTTCCTCAGGAGGAGTGTGGGACGAGAGAGAGCAGTGAGCATGGGGAGTGCAGAGACACAGGAGCAGAGAGCACTAAACAGGGACTTTTTGGGAAGAAGGCACGACACGGGAGTAAAGGGAGAGCACGGGGATTTATTGTCATTTTCGCACTGTAAATAAACAAACCATTTGCAGTGAAGAGTCCAGCGTTCTGGGTCCTCCTTTCCCCCACATCCCCACGGCTTGCCCTGGCAAACCGTGACAATCCCAAGTGTAGAAATACTTCATAGAGTGGGTCACTGTAAGAAATATTTAATGTAGTGAGAAACAGCTTTAAAAATCAGCACATTTTCAAAATAAAAAAACTATACCCACATAGCAAGCAGGTCTGGCCCGGATCTGGTGTGAAGCCGGCACTGCTGGCTGACTTCTGGCATGATAAGACGTATGTCATCCAGGTATGGGCCAAGCCTGGCATAGATGGCACTGTTTATGTGATGGCATGCCACATCTGGCCCGATTGTGGTTTGGTGTATGTGGCCCAGGCTCACAGAAAACGGGTCTGGCCCGGATCCGGCATCAAGCTGGCACTTCTGACTGACTGGTGTCATGGCAAAGTGTAGGTCAACCTGATGTGGGTCAGGTCTGGCAATGATGGCACTATTTATGTTCCTATTTTCCTATTTTAGTTAGGAGACCCAAATGCCATGTTGCAATACTGCTATGGTAGCCAACGTTTCAAATACAGGTTTGACAGGTTTGTAGTGTACACTTATACAAAACCTAGTGACGGTTTACTCATTTTTGCCAGTGGGTGGCTGTAACTCAGGAGGTAGAGCAGGTCACCTACTGCTCAGAAGGTTAGCGGTTTTATCCCTGGCTCCTCCAGTCTGCATGTCAAGAGTGTGAATGTAGTTAGGAAGCACTCAGTTTAGAGAAAGTGTGTGGTTGGGTGAATGTGACATGTTGTATAGACCACTTTCAATAATCTGGGAACGTGAAAAGCGTTGTATAAGAATCTGTTCATTCACTGTCTGAACAGAGTTTTGTCATGTTACTGTTGCACTACTATGCACATGTTTTTATTACATGGCTTAATTAAGGTACACATTAGGCTGACATCTGGGGCCAGAGTTGAAACTCTTCTGGGCCAGTAAAGGACCACCAGTGTGTCTGCAACTGGCCTTGTGCTGGCCCATGTGTGGGCCACCTCTGGCGAACCAGATCTGGGTCACCAAAGCGCCGCAATCCTTTGCGGTATGTGGGCCACGTGTAAGCACATTGTGTGGGCCAGAACCAGGCCATACCAATTTTGCTATGTGGGTAGTGTCTCCTCTATAAATACAAAAATAGATTTAAGAATCAATGTTTTATCTTTTCAGATTATCTTATATTAAAAACTTACATTTTGTAACTACAATATTGTTTTGTAAAAACTGTTGTTTGTAGGTCATTTTGATTTGGTTATACTTTCATGATGCATCAGTAATGATTTACAGTCCTTATTATGGACCTTATTAACCCGACCATAGGCTGCCAGTAAATTATTATTTTTATTTTTTAAATATTGTGCAGATTACAACTGTTTCTTTCCCCTTTTGCTTATATAACACTTCTATACCTTACACCATAAAACATTATGAGCAGCTTAAATTTTTCTTCGTCTACAATTGGAAATTTAATTTCAACAAAAATAATTTGTAAACCAGCACTCATTTAGGTTTTGATGTTTGTAGCTGTTTGTAGGCTTTCTGCAAACAGCTACAAACAAACATCAGGGACCCAAACCAGCCCTCTCACAGCCTGTTCTCACTCCAGCATCTGGAAAGAGGAGACGGAGCATCAGCTGCAGAACCAGCAGGATGCTTGAAGACTTTTCACCAACAATCCTTATTTTGGATTTGTTATTACTGTATTTTATTTCTTTTACTGATCATTGTAGCGTAGAGGCTGATGAGAAGCAACATTTTGTTGAAGCCTTTGTACTTCTGTAAAAAAACAACAACAACAAAAACAAACAAAGTGCGAAATAAAAATAAACTTTGAATCTTGAATATATGCAAGCCGAGAGTCTGTTTAAAGTAACACCTGAGCCACCTGAGAGCAACACTATCTCTAAAGAACAGTTTCATTTTTATGAAACTTACCTGCAGACACAGACGCTGTCCAGTAAAGAAGCAGCATCATAAACGTCCTCATTTTGAATTCAATACTTGCAGTATAAGAAGAAAAAATTAATACAACCGTTTATTGTTTTAATTTTGCCACAAAATGAAACTACAGCCTCTGAGTCCGCACGTGCTGTGACTCCTCTCTGACCAATAGGAATTCAAAGCTGGATGCGCCTCACCAGTAACCAGGCAAAATGAGAGAACCCAGGTTTATTTATTTACTAATTTATTTTTGGAAAGTGGAGAATGACAGAAACAAAGAGCTAGTAGCGCGTAATCTGTGATTTTGATCAGAGACCTAAAGTGACGCAGGGATTAAAGACACATACCAATCATGTATATTTGTGTCACAGCTGTTATCACATATTTTCTGCAGTTATTTGTACTTAATCATATTCTTACTAATGCCATTTTAAAAGTAGTTATGCTCATGTTTACACAACTATGCAATTAACCTTGAGTTCCCAGAGTAATCCAGATACAATTATTCATCCACCCACAAATTTATCTTGCAACCTTTTTCACCACATTTTGGACAAGAGATAAGGTACACCCTAACAGGTCTCGCCCAGAGAGAGAGAAAGAGCAAACCATACACTCTCACATCCACACCTATGCTTCATTTAATCACCAGTTAACCTAAAATGCACGTTTTTGGGATCAAGTCAAAGTGAAAGAAGTGTAAAAGAATTGTTGTTAAAGAAATGAAGCTAATAATGATTAACATGAGAAAAACTTTAGCAATGTAGAACTATGTATGAAAACACATAAACCACAATATTTAAGTATTATTGTCTGAATCCAAGGGTTACAGACATAATATTATGCATTTGGAATATAAAAACAAAGTTTTGGATTTTAAGACTTTTTACTAGTTCTGTTTCTCTTGTCCTCATCTGACATTTTTTGTTTGTTTTTTGAGTAGGATTTGCCACAATATCCAATATATTTATCTCTCTCTCGCTGTCTCATTAATAAGATTTGGATTTCTGAGATGTGGGTCAGCAGCAGAATTCAGTGGGTGGTGTTAATAGACCTGACTGTAACAAAGAAGGAAAAAAATGTCTTTGTAGACTCCGCCAAAATCAAAATGAAACTGCCGCATGCGCAGTAGCTCTTCTCTGACCAATAGGAATTCAAAGCTGGCTGCATCTTAACAGTAACCAGGCAAAAAAAGGGAACCAAGGTTTTCTTTCGAAAGTGAAACTTATCATGACCTCAGAAACAAAGAGCCAGTGGTGTGTAGTCGTTGGGCTCTGTGTCTTTAACTGCTACGTCACTGTAGGCCATCTAATCAAAATCACGTGTATTTGTGTCACAGTTCTTATCACATATTTTCTGAAGTTATTTAATCACATTCTTACTAATGACATTTTAAAAGTAAATTAAATTATGCTCATGTTTACATTCATATACAAATAACTTCCCCAAGCAATCGAGATACAATTATTCATCCACCCACAAATTCTTTTTTTTTTTTTTTTTTTTTTTTTTTTTTTTCTAAATGACATCAGAAACAGCAGTATGCGACATTACGTGATGGCAGAGCTTCAGTTCATCCTTTGTCATTTTTTTTTTTTTTTTTTTTTTTTTTTTTTAATAAATAGGACAGGGGGAATGAATGAGAGAGAGAGGGGGAGAGAAAGAAAGAAAACCAAAGGGGAGAAGAGACGGTGAGAAGGGGGGGAAGAGAGAGAGAAAAAAAAAAAAAAAAAAAGAGCTCCTGGGTCACCTGTATGGAGAAAAAAAAAAACAAACAAAAAAAACAAACAGAGGAGACAGCAAACAACAAAGAGCAACATAATAATAGAGAAAACAAAGCACCATCACAATAAACTAGCTAGCCATAGATATCAATATTTACTAAATAATAAACGATATTGTGCAGCACGCAAGATAGACAGCGCACAGTGTGCTTTGAGGTAGCAGCCAAGAAAGCTTTAGTCCGCGTCTGTGAATACCCATGTGTGCATACCTGTGTGGATCAGCATGCTTGCATTCCAAAGGTTTCTCCATGTAATGATCTGCTAGGGAGTGTGGGGGGCCACAGCCCCGTCCTCCAGGGTGTGAAGCGGGTATGGAGGAGATCAAAACTCCAGACATCCAGAGGCCCCCAGAACACAAGAGACCATGGAAGACCAACAGAGGGGCAGCCGCGCCACTGTTCCAGTAAGAGCTGAGGAGAGTCCCAGATGAGGCTCGCCCAGCAGCCGCGGAGCAGAAGTCAGGGGGAGTTGCAGTGATGCGCCCGTGAGCTCCGCCGGCCCCCAGCTGTGCCTGAGTGACCGAGCCCCAGGCCGAGAGGCCGGGGCACCCCACCTCCAAAGGGGCCCGAGCGAGCCCCAGGCCCAGGCCCCGACAAGCGGCCGCCAAGGAGTGAGCCGGTGTGTACCCGGACGCCCACCCCAGACACAAAGAACCACCAACACACTGACACCTGAGGGAGTCCGCCACCGGCAGGGGAAGTGGTGGTGGGTGGAGATAGGCCTCCAAACAAATTCATCTGGCAACCTATTCTACCTGATTTGGGACAAGAGGTCAAAGCTTCATGTCTTTCTCTTTCTGCAACGTGATAAAATAATGAAACGATCAACAATTAAAATCAGAAAAAAATTAGCGATGTTAAATTTTGGACGTATAAAAACAACATTTAAGTATTATTGTCTAAATCGAAGGGCTACAGACTGGATATTATGTATTTGCATTCAAAATAAAAATGTTGACTTTCTGTTATTTCTGTCCTCATCTGACGTCTTTCTCATGACTTGCTACCACCCACTCATATGAACTTACTTTAAGTTATAATCCCACTTTTCATGATTAAAGCACTTATTCTGCACATGTCTAAGCATCAAAGACTGTCATTAAGCTTTCTCCAGAATGTGCTGCTGGGTTTGGTTTGTCAGATGGCGCCATCTAGCAATGGGATTGTAGTACTGCTGAATATAAAAGTAAGCTTTGTCTTTAACTGTCTAAGTTTCAGTCAACTAAGTTGTGTTTTCTTACCCCTCCCAATCCAAATGCATAATGCTAGTACGGTGGCTGTTGTAGGACAAACAAGTTTTATTCAGTGAAGACTGAAATCATGAAACTGCCTCCATCTGGCAGCAGAGCTCTCTGCTGACAAACGGGCCATCTCTGACTGCGAATGTGCTGCCTCTTGTTGTTAGAAGTGGAGAAGAGGTGAAAACGACTAAAATTACTAAAAACTCACAAAGACTTAGAATCGGAGAAAAGGGAAAGCAGCAGTGAATAAAGAAATAGACAGTAATGTTTTTGAATATAGAAAATAAAACATGATATGCTGTGGAAATAGGGACTATTTATTAAACTTAAAAATAGGTGTAAAAGCTAGATTATTTAATCGGGACAGAGACCTTCTAGACAAAAGATGAATAAGAGTTTGTATAAATGGTATGCAATCTAATAACTGAGAATGGAACTCCTCAGGGAAGATTGTTTGAGCCATTAGTAATTTTAATTAAGATTAAATATATCTTTGATCAAATTCCTAGGCATATAGGAAAGTCAGCTTTTTCAGATGATACAGTCATCTGTAAGAGAGGAGGAAGTGTGCAGACTGTTTAAAAGCAGCTGCAAGAAGCAGTTAAGCAGGCACAAATATGGGCTACTACATGAGGATTTCAGCTCTCCATAGAAAATAAAACAAAATAGTTTATTTAAACAGGAAACATATAAGCAAATATTGTTTTATCTATCTGTCATTTTAAAGTTTTAGGCGTGCACTTTGATGTAAAGTTTACATGAACACAGCATGTTAACAGGACTGAGAAGAAAATGTAAAAAGAGTTACAAATATAATGCAGTGGTGGGGACACAAAAGGCAATTCTAAAAAGTATATATGCAAGTTTGGAATCATGGAGCTGTAGCATATGTGTCAGCATTGTGTTATTATCTGTTTGTATTGAGGCGCAATCGGTTTTGCAGCATTTAGCTGAACTGAGCAGAGTATAGACGTCTACACTTCAGTATTTGTTCTGTGAGCTGTCACTAGTGGCGCTAGTTAGATGATGTGCTGTGATCATGAGCCGTTTCTCTTTTCCTTTCCCATCATTCTGGTATAACCATTAGTTTATCTGTCCAATGATTTATTTATTTTATTTTCTACATTTCTGTGCACGCTGTTTTAGATGTTTTCTGGGAAAGTCTTCCTTTTCTTGAGTAAAACTAGTGTTTTGTACCTTGTTGTAAACCCTCTGTATTTACATTAATTAATTACATTAATGGTTCTCTAGACTGCAGACCACGACAATGATCTACCTAACTCATCAAGTGTTATTGGCTTTGTTAGATGTTTTGAGGTTATTGCATTCATGCACTTTAGTTGTCTTCTGTGGTCTTTCAGGCCTTTTGATGTTGACGAGCTGGTCAGTGCATTCATTCTTTTTAATAACGCACCAGATTGTTGATTCTCCATGATGTTGTTTCTCTCCCTAACTTGCACTAACATCACTTTGGGCTTTATATTAAAAGATTACAGCTATTTTACTCATACTTATATAAAAGCTAATCAAAATAATAATAGTTTGACTTTTCATTACACTGCAGACCAGCACCGACCAGGAACAAACCTGACAACAATCTGCTGGCAATGCTAAATTTGTATGATTGTACACAGACCAGTAAAATCTAAGAACAGCTTCAGCTGTTCTACAGGCAGTTATAGCATAAAGCTTGATTCATGCTTTCCTCATGGCATAGTCACATAAAGCTAACACTTCTTTTGAGAATATTTTCAAGCCAAATGCTGGACAGTCACATCAGCAGGTGGAGTTTTTCCTACTTACAAGAGGATCATTGCTGCTTGGATTATATCCTGTGTTGTTGCAGCATAACTACAGCTAACATGAAGTAGAACAGTAGGCCCATATATTTTAAATTCCCTCGTTCAAGACCATGATGACTTAAAATCACAGCTCTATGTAAAGATTTGACTTAATTTTGTGAAAAACGAACAACACAAAAACAGTAACATACCATCTGTACATCAGCACAATAATTTGCTGTAGGCAAAGGCCAAGACTTACTGTTTGCCACCCAAAGCATTTTTCTTGCATCATATCTGTCAAAAATGTCCATCAGGATTATTTTTAAATGGATTGCTTTTTCTGGTAACTCACATTTACAATCGCAGACAAAATACAAACAAATTATTAAATTTGTGTGATTTTCCAGTTTGAAAGCACAGAGGTACAGTGCTCAGTACTGTTGACTGTGAGGTTCCATGTTCAAATCACCTGATTTAATTATATGGTTTTTCCCTCTTTCTACAGTCTAAAGAAGTTAGATTGTGGTTCGTAATTGGACATGATGTGGTTGTGAACATATAGGTGTCTGTGCTGCAACGTGTCTAGTTCCCATGGCTGCAAAACAAGCTGGCATCATCATTCCTCCACCACCATGTTGACAAGTGATATGCTGTGTTTATTTATTTGTTCCTCAACATGGTGCTGTGCATTAAGGCCAAACATTTCCACTTTGGTATTTTCTATTGAAACTTTAAAACTTAATCTGCACTGGAATTTAGAAAGGAGGAGGAGACTTTCACCTGACAACTAACAACTAACCAAACATACCATATTTGTTCAGTCTTTCTCTAATTGTACTCATAAACCTTAACATGTACAGTAACATGCTAAATGATACCTGTAGATTTGTATAGCTCTTTATTTTATTTACTCTTTATCATGTAGTTTCTCTGAGCACTGCATGGTCTCACCCTGGGGTGAATTTGCAGGGTGAACTGTCCTTGTAAATAATGTAAAGAACAATAGCTACTCTATTATACAATACAAAATTATACAAGAGACAGATACACAGCTTAAAATTAGGAGGAAATTTCAATATTGTGTTAAATTCTTGAATCGCCCCTTTATTCTTATTTCTTTATATTTTCTTTTCAAAGAGCCAGACTTTGTTTTAATTTTTAACTAGTCTTTATCAATAACTCTCCAGGCTTTTAGAAAGTCTTTCAAAGTGTTTCTTCTTATTCCCAAAGAGCTATGAGCTGAAAACTTACATAGAAAACTGTCTCTAGTTTATGGTCTATAGTCTCTGTGTAATATCTTCACAGAGAACAGAAAAATCAGCTTTAAACATCCTTCAAGAAGTCTGAAGAACTCTTCCTGAAGACCTCATAAAGGAAATGACAAGAAAGCTGCCCAGGAGTCTTTGTTAAAGACGATCATACCGAATGTTCACTTTCAAACTTGTTAGAATTATACAGACTCTCTTTTTGCCTCATATACTGAATTTATACTTTTGTTTGTATGTTTGTTCATTTTTCCATAAATCATTCCACCTATTCCTAATAAAGTATTTTAAAAAATGACACATAGCTCATGACTTTTTCAGAGTTCTTTATATTTTGAGATGAAATGTGAGATTCATCTTATCTGGTGTGATTTCTGTCAAATTGCTCATATTTTTAAGGACAAAGCCACGAAAGGTGTTTTAAATAAACAGAAAATGAACAAACATATTATAACTACTTGTAAAGTGGATGAAGCATTCAACACAACAAAGAGTGAAAAAGGGCAGATCTGCAAAATGAATGTACATCAGCATCTGAACTAACCTATTTTTAGCAGATAACTCCTCACATATTCCAAATACTTTAGCCACTCATGGGTGAAGCAGCTGCTCTAACAAAGCTTTGTTACTGTCACTCTTCAGAGCACATGGAAATTAGTTTTGCTTGTAGGATGAAGGAGCATTTAGCTCAAAATATAAATAACTTCGCAGCACTTATTGTCCTCTCATGTTTTGAATGTGCAAAGTCTGTTTCTGAATGAATTATATATGTGATATATATGTAAAGCATAAATACACATAAATGTAAACTTCACAGGACTAAATCTGAATCATTAAATTGTTATCAGTTTGCTTTTTGTTTACATTTATATTTATTCATACTGTGGATCTACTGGCTTGAAGGGTTCAGTGTAGATTTTCTGCTAAACTATCAGCAACTAAAATAATCTGAGACATGTAGCTGAGAACATCTCAAGCCTTACACTGTTAAAACACCAAACAGTGGCTATAGATGTAACACCATTTGGTTTTAAGAAGCCTTGATTATTAATGTTCGGCAAACGTTATTTCAAAATCTCTGCACTAACAGTTCTTTTAAACTCCGTCAAGCTGGCTGGCGGTCATGTGTCAGTTCAAACAAAATGGCACGAGACTGGAATTAAATTTTGCCATCAACTGGTAGTCTTTATTAAATAAAGTATGAGTTTACGTGTCAACACATGCCAAAGAACCCAACCCCCCTAAAAGCAGCTGGCTTCCTTTTATACTCTACCTGATTCAGGCGACCATTCTGGAATAGCACAAGTCTATAAAGTGTGAAGGTTGATTCTGTTCATCTGGACGTAGTTTTCAGTGGGAGAAACATTTCGTCACTCTCATCCAGGTGACTTCTTCAGTCTCAGCTGACTGCAGGTTTCCCATAAACAGTACATTTGCACAATAGCTGAAACCAGCCCACTGAAGGAACAATGGGCTGTGAGGTCAGTTACTTCATCATATGCAAATTGTCAAGTCTAGTGTTGGTAAACCAAATGAAAAAAATAAACATCCACAAAAGCAAACATCGAACCACAATACAACACGCACACAATACTTTTGTCACAAGGACACTTAATGGACTGGAGCTGGCATCATTACACCTAAGCTTACTGAGCTACTATCACGAGTTAAATTGTAGCTAATCCATTAATATTTGGGCTGGATTCATGAAACTTTAGCCAAGTGTACATTTTATTTTTAAAAAGTCACAGAAATTTGGATTATTTGGGACTTCATTGAAAAACAAAAGTACAAAAAGGAGAGAAAGAGCAATGCAGTTTTAGTGATATATAAACAGAAACAAACCCACCAATGTGTTAAAAACATAACCCACACAAACCTCCAGAGTCTTAACTTGAACTAAACTCTAAAATCAAAAACACTCAAAACATGTCTTAAATCAAACAACAGAGAATAAACATAATTTTTATTAATTAAGAAATAAATCAGATATAAAGTAAAATCTTTTAAGGTCTCCTGGAATTCAACACAAGTTTGTCTTTTAAATCAAATTTTAAGTAAATGTCATGGTCCTGAGTCTGAGGACTCAGTGTTTTGTGTTCCTTATGCTTTTGTTCATTCAGAGTGTGTATTCTGTTGTGATTTTGCCATTTGTTAGGTTTCTGTTCTTTGCCTGCCTGCTTCCACTTCTCGGTGTTCCCTCTGTCTGTCCATGGTGTTATTGTGTCTGCTCATGAGTCTGCCTGTCAAGTTCAGTGTCCAGTCTGGTTCTCTGTGTCTGTTAGTTTCCTGTTTTATTCTGAAAGTTCATGTCTCATGTCAGTGTGTTCAGTTTTACCTCTCCCCTGTCTCGTTAGCCTTATTGCTCCCAGCTGTGTCTCCCTCCTGTGGCCATTCCCTGATTACTCCCCGTGTATTTAAGCCCTGTGTTTTCCTGTGCTCGCTGTCGCGTCGTCTGTTTAACTCCATGTCAGTCTGCATTATTCTGTTACCTGGTATTCATGCTGCGTCTCTCTGCCATCTCTCTTTGTGCATTTCGCTCCTCCTCCCGTGAGTGTCTGGTTTAAGTTTTGTTCTTTAGTTTTCCCAGTTTAGGTTTGTTTACTCCCCGCTCTGCTCTTCCTGTTTTGTCACTTTATCACCTCTGCAAATAAATTTTCACTCGCACCCCAGTCAGTGCCTGCATCTTGGATCCTTTTCTCAATTCACCACACGACTGCTGTGCAGCCGTGACAGTAAATGTACAAGATTTAGAAATATATTATTATGATTCCTTTATCACTGAGAGTGAGGGAATCTCAGCATTCATGAGTGATTCAATAATTTACAAGAAAACCAGAAACACTAAACTAATATATGTTTGAGTGAAGATGAACATACAAAGGTTTAATTATGACTGTATTGAGACTGCTGTGATGCTTTCATTGTTTCATATTGTTTTTATTGTGTTTTACGTCTCTCCAGGTGGTCACATCTTTGTTAGATCTTCAGAATAATTTAATGCCACCATTATGATGTATATGTTAAACATTTGCCAACTCATTTTCAAACTCCTTTCCATTAAATCTTGACAAATAAGCATCTGCAACTATATTTTAGACTTTAGATCTTTTTAACAGATCTAAAGTCTGTGAACAATCAACGAATCAACGAATTCAATGAATTCCAGTTTATGGAGAAGAACGACACGTCTTCTCTCAGGTTCTCTGTAGAGATAAAGAAATAAAATAAATGTTAGGATTAATCAAATCCACAAATAACACATTTACAGTTTCATTAAGATCTAAAATTCTGATTCAATCGAGTATTTACTTCATATGTTTCTGAATGGAATTAACACATTTGTTTTCATTTTGTTAAATCATTTCATGAAACGTTATTTTGAAAGCATCTTTCTCTTAATATGATTTAGTTATACTAAAGCACTTTTTTTTGGATATATTTAAAAAGGAGATTTTACTACAGCCAGTATTTTACATAAGTTTTAAAAAGAAAGCTAAAACATGAGACACAAATATGAAGTAACTCACTGTGTGCAGAGCTGTTTGTGGTTTCGGTCTTGAGGAAGCATTTGCTCCTTGACTTCACGGTTCTCTGCAGCTGTAGGGTCAGAAACACAATGTTAGTCCACATCCTGCTCTCATCTGTCACTTTTACAACAATCAAACACAACAGGAAACAGCCCTGAAAGACTGTTTAGATTAGAGTGCAGAAACTCTTTTTAATTTAGTGTAGACAAGAGATTAGAGAAAAGTGACAAAGTTTAACTTACGAGATGGGGGACGTTTGCCTGAAATAAAAAGGAAAAAATACATCATGTTAGTAATTTGTTGTAAATGTTAACACAATTTTTTTCACGTATTGTACAAGGCATGAAACATAATTTCATGTTTTCATTTTGTAATCTGGACAAAAGCATTAATTTAATGTGTAAAATTAAAAACATAGACACTGGGCTTACTCACTAATGTGTTTATAGATATATCCTGACTTTTCCCACAACATGTGCTCATGTTAAATTTATAAGTAAAGCGACTGAAGGTAGAGAACGTACACATTTCTAATGCAGGTAAAGGTGTACCTTAGGATGTGTTTGTTTGGCAGAGTTGATGGTTAAGAACAGAGAAACAATGTTTGGGTTTCAATAACTGAGTTGGTGGTTATTTTGTTCCCTGACACAAACTGTAGCTCAGGTGTAAAAAAACAAAACAAAAACAAAAAACAAACAAAACACAAAGACAGAAAGAAAAACGATGCAGAAAAAAGTAAATAACAGACAAGAAGAAAAAGTGAAGTAACTGAACAAAAATCTACAAGTGGGATATTGCAGAGAAATGAAGGGGCAAGTTATGAAACACAACAAGCATGATTAATGAATATTGTTGTAATATATTGAGGATTTAAAAGAGTCTGATCATCCTGCTGGCAGAGAAAGTGTTAAAATACATTATTAACCTGAAGACTCAGCTTACACTGCTTTTGGTTGTTACCTGTTTAATCCTGTGTGCATTCTTTGTTTTCTTTTGAAAACTGTTAATAATGACTTCAATTAAGTCATATTACTCTTACTATCATTATTATTGTTTGCACTATGTCATCATTGTTGTTGCATTATACAAGAAACATCCAGGAAGTTTGTTTCTCACCTGTCCTCTTTTTGTAAATAAAGAATGTGATCACAGCGATGGCAGCAACAACAACAACAACAGCAACAACAACAGGGATGATCAGGGAGAAGGAATTTCCTGTGGATCACAGAACAAACAAAAGGTGAGAACAAAGTTTCCAATCAGATAACAATCATGTACAAGAGCTTCGTTTATGGTCACTACATATTTGTCTCACTAATGTTTGTTTTCATTCCAACAATAAAAGTTCTGCCATTAAATTAAATTTCAATACATTGCCAATAAATTTGAACATATGTTTCAAAATATACATTTTCCCCAATTTACTATTTAATCTTCTAAAACTGTCCATTAGTCAGATAATCAGTGGCCACACACGAACATGTTTTATATTCATCAATGTTCAGCAAGAAAAAAATGTGGTGGAAAAACACAACTTGGTCTAAACTGATTTAGGTCTTAAAATTATTCTGACAGAAGCTGACAGAAAGAATATCAAAGCAAACAAACTTTCTCATCCAACATGAACCACAGGGCTATTGCAGTAATTCAAGTGTGTGTTTCCCATGTTTATCACTCATCTGATCCTGATTCCAGACTCACCTTCATTTATCTTGATGTCTGATTTGTCCAGTTTGGTGGCGATGTCCTCGTTCACACCAGAGAGCTGAAACACACATCTGTAGCTGTGCCAGTCTTCAGATTTCACTGATGAGACATCCAGGTCAACACTCATCTGGAAGGTCCCGTCATTGTTGGTGAGAATCTCTCCTTTGTTCACACCCTCATGAAGCTCCACTCCATCTTTTTTCCAGAACATCTCGGCTCTGTCAGGATAGAAACCTGTAGCGTGGCAGCTGACTGGAGAGGAGGAAGACTTCTGGAGGAGAGACACTTTGGGGACAACTGTGGAGTAAAGACAAACAGTTCATTCTTTCTGTATTATTATTATTACTTTTATTTGAGCTGGGGAGGTGCATAGTGCAGACGAGACGTGAAGAAAAGAGTGCGGACAAGGTGGAGTGGATGGAGACGAGCAAGAGTGGAAAGGAAGGTTTACAAGATGGCAGTGAGACCTGCTGTGATTTAATATCTGAGGATGGTGGCACTGAGACAAATACAGGAGACAGAACTGATGATATTAAAATTATCATAAGGAGTGAGAAGGATTAGAAATGAGTATATCAGAGCTAAAACTGTGGAAGATGATCTGCTATGATGACCAACAACCAACAAGATTATTATTATTATTATTAATGGATTGGATTTATATAGCGCTTTTCAAGGCACCCAAAGCGCTTTACAATGCCACTATTCATTCACTCTCGCATTCACACACTGATGGAAGCAGCTACAGTTGTAGCCACAGCTGCCCTGGGGCAGACTGACAGAAGCGAGGCTGCCATATCGCGCCATCGGCCCCTCTGGCCAACACCAGTAGGCAAGTAGGGTAAAGTGTCTTGCCCAAGGACACAACGACCAGGACAGAGAGCCCAGGGATCGAACCGGCGACCTTCTGGTTACAGATGCGATTCCCAACCCCCTGAGCCACGGTCGCCCATTACTATTATTATTAAAACCATACCAATTTCTTTTGATGTGATGTAGTTTATAAAATTATATTAAATTTAAAAAATGTGTCAAAAGGCCACGCAAAGTGCAATTATATTAACCCTTTCACATTAGGGGTCACTACAGTGGACAGCTATTCAAAGGCTGTTTTCTTGTATTTGTGTCAGTGTTGATGGTAAACTTGCACATAAACCACTACATTGGACACTGATGAGTCACTCCATAGGCAGGGTTACAGTTGTTATAATTGTTACATATATTGTTATACTGTTATAAAATATTTTTAAAATATATATATATATATATATATATATATATATATATATATATATATATATATATATATATATATATATATATATTGTCAAATTCATAAGTCAAAATGTTTGTTGTACAACTAAGTGGACATGTAAAAATACTCTTTAAAAATGAAAAGTACTTGAAAAATCTTTTTTTCATGCCTTAAGATGAATAAAAATACTCAAGAAAAAAAAGCTCTGATTGAGGTTTTCATAATTCATGCATGAAAAGATTAATTTTATATCATATTAAGTAATAAACTGAGACATATAACTTTTGGTTAACAATCTAATTCTGCTCATAGATTTTACCTGTTTTCATCAGAGAGCTCCTCCCATAGTTCACATACTTCTTCAGTGACTCAGGACAAATCTGGGTGAGGTAGTACTTATACAGAGCCATCATAGCTCTGTTATTTCCCCACTTCATCTGTGTCATGACAGCCTGTTGTTTTGGAGCGACCCATGTCTCTGTCTTCAGGTCAAAGCTTATGAAGTCCTCTCCATCATAACCTTCTTGGTGATATCCATTCACTTCACCTGTTTCTTCATCCCATTCACAGCCGCACATCACCTGGTAAATGTGAACACCTGACAGAAACACAGAGACAAAGACTGCAGTGAACCAGAGAGAGGCTGCACTAAAGTCTTACACTGACACAGAGACGTGATCAACATATAGAGGATCTACATTTATGGCTGCTTTTGTCTCAGTGGAAGATTTTTAAAACCAGTCATCATTAACAATGGAGATTTTAGAAAAAGACACTGGGAAAAAACAGAATTCATTTTCTCCCGTTAGCACATCTACGTCCTGCCTGCAGAGATATCACTGCACAGTTTATCTATGCTGCTGTAGGTGGAGCAACTTCCTGTGAGCTGCAGGATCAGACAAACACACTAAGATGGATCCTCAGCAGCCAACACAGATCCTGATTCTGGATTTAAATTTCCATCCTCTGAAACTCTGCAGCCGTCATCAGTCCTAAAAAATCCTCCAACAAAAAAAAACTAAGCACCAGACTGTCCTGAGGTTTTTCTAGAGGTGTCTCTGTTTAATATGATCATGTGACATTAATCTAATCTGGAGTTCTACTTACAGCATTTCAGGCTCCAGCAAATGCTTCATGTCATCATTGTTGACTATGCAAGAAATAATTTTTGATAAATCAGTTAATTTCTTGTGCTGTGACCTGACAAAAAGGTGAAAAAGGTTCCTCTAAGATTTTACAACCATGTTGTCATTTTTATTACATTTACTAAGAGCAGAGGACTGAAACAATAACTCCGACTTTGAATTTGACTCCATGCTGGGACACTTTGGTGTTTTTCAGCGCTGTGACCAGATCAGATTTTGCACTAAAAATATTAAAACATTCACATTAATGATATTATTGGATGTGTAGCACAGAGATCTGTGGGTGTCTTTCAGTAGGAACCTGAGCGCTGCTGATGCTGTGATGAGAGCCGACAGTCTACAGGTGAGAAACACGAGGAGTCATTCCTGCTTTTATAACATCGCTGCTCTCAAAGCCACGAGAAAAGCCTCGGTGCATCATCACAGGTATTTTCTTTATATGAACATGTGGAGTTACACACCACACTTTTCCAGCCTGTTTGGTTAATAAATTATATTACTATTATTATATTACTATATAATTGCTAATCAATAAATCAGGACGCTGTGAATGTCCATGGAAATCTCGCAAAAACACCTCCTTATAGGCGGCAACAAAGTGAATGTGGGATGAGCTGGTGTTGTCTTTACTCCTTTGATGTTTTTGTTGAAAGTCCAGGCAAGTATATACATGTTAAATGACAAGATATACGTGTTCAAATGGCATCAATTAACTCACAACTATATGACAATTCTTCATAACTAAACAATAAGAACAAGTAGTCTGATGTCCTGTGATCATTATGAAGCTATAATTTGAAATACAATAACAAGTTAGGTTTTTGTACAAAGTATCGGTGTCGGATCAGTATTGTTGATACCACCCATCACTAGTCACTGAGCGCCAGAAAAAGCAGCTCAGTGATCCGCCCAGTACGCTGTTATTTTCCTCCGCTTTCTGGAAATTTCTTGCTAAATTTTACGGCGTCCTGATTTAACAACACCACCTTAATAATCAACCTTCAGCCAGTTTATGGGAAAAGTAAGACATTTTAACAATTTACTGTCCTTGATTATATTTTCAGGTTGTTGTGTATTAGTAAAAAAAAAACATTAAATTTTAAATCGGGGACCAAAAATATTAAACATAGACTCAAACTCATATTTACTGTCTTATTTTTAAATAAATAAAGAATAAATAAAAATCAGTGTAAAATTTAGAGAAACTGTTAACTGTTAAACGTCTGTCTGTTAGTTTGTGTTTCTTATTTTTGATCTACTTCTCACCAAACTGTTTTCCTATTGAAGTAAAACTAAAAGTTAAATATTTATTTATTTTCCACAGAGTAGCTTTGAGTTTGTCACCGATTTATTTATGGAACCTCTGCTAATGAAAGATAATCCTGAAAACATTTCCTCATGAAAATGGGCTGAATGTTTTATTTTCATGCATTTAGTTAAATTCATTCATAAAGAGGCCGTGGACAGTGAGCGGGCCTTTGAGCTGTCTCTACTTTCAGCCTGTTACAAAGTCAACCCTGTTTGATTCTACTTTTTGTATTAAATATAACATTATTATTATTATTATTATTATTATTATTATTATTATTATTATTATTATTATTATTATTATTATTATTATTATTATTATTATTATTATTATTATTATGTGTTTAATGGAATCTGGAAAAACTGCTGTCATAACTGTGACATCACAGCACATTTAACATCTCAGCTAGATGATAAATTATTTCATCCTAAGATGCTGTTGATGGTGTCTGACATATTTTCTTTTTCTATAATTTATTACAACATGTGATTATTTGTGAGGGACGTCTGAACTGAGACACGGAGCGACTTCCTGTGAGCTGCAGGAACAGACAAACACAGTAAGATGGATCCTGAGCAGCAAACTCAGATCCTGATCCTGGGTTTAAGTTTCCATCCTCTGAAACTCTGCAGCCTCCTATCGTTCTAACAAAAATCGTATAACTGCGGGAAAACTACACACCAGACTGTCCTGATGTCTTTCTAGAAGCTTCCACTGAAGGAGAGTTTCAGTCCAGGATTGTTTTTATTAAAAGTCAAATATTGGTTCACAATAATTGTAAAACAAACACACCTCAGACTGATTATTTAGACCCTGCTGATTTTCTGGAGATTAATTTCTGAATAATCGATTATTAAGAAATTGCAGCAAAAACAACCATCAAGGTTTCAGAGGCAAAAAATCCTAAATATAAACCGAAAACTTCAAATATCATGAATTTATCTTTATTATTTGATTATTTTGATCAACTAAACAGTTAAATTATGCCAGTTCATACAAACATGATCATTAAAGCTGGTTGGATTAAATGAAAGTTTCACAGACTGTAGTTCTACATTTATTACGAATTATTATGTTAATAATTTTAATCTGTAATCTGAATGAAACATTTAATGTGTGCAAACCTGTTTACTACTGTAAACAAAACACACTGAAAACATTAACAGCAAATATCAGTAAAAATGAAACATGAACAAACCTCCAGTTTGGTTGAAGCGCTGCTTTAAAGTCTCAATGTTGGCTTTGAACCTCTGCTGGTCACCCATCCTTTTTGCAGTCTGACTCTCCCAGTACTGCTGATCTGTGTTCCTGGCAAACCAGTCCTGTTTGGGCTCATCTTTCTCCGTGTCGCTGTCATAATAATCAATCTGAACATCATCAACCATCCCAACAGCCACAAACTCTGGGAAGTTTGGGACTTGAGAGGACGCAGTGTAGAAATACTTCAGCGAGTGGGTCACTGTAAGAAACAGTTAATGTTGTGAGATCTCAGGAACACAGACTTATAAATCACATTATTTCTAAAATAACACAATAAGAAAAACTACAGCACATTAAGGACATCCTGTGATAATCCTGCTGTCCCTTCAAAAAACACAAAATAGATTTATGAACAGATATTCAGTGTTTAATGTCATTTTTCTGATCTTCTTTTCTTCAAAACTTCGAATTCTAGTTTGAACCTGATTATTCACAGAAAGTTTTAAAACGGTTGTTTATCCTTCATCCATCCATCCATCCATCTTCATCCGCTTTATCCAAGGCCAGGTCGCGGGGGCAGCAGCCTAAGCAAAGAGGCCCAGACCTCCCTCTCCCCAGCCACCTCCTCCAGCTTATCCAGGGGAACACCAAGGCGTTCCCAGGCCAGCCGAGAGATATAATCTCTCCAGCGTGTCCTGGGTCTGCCCCGGGGCCTCCTCCCGGTGGGACATGCCTGGAACACCTCACCCAGGAGCCGCCCAGGGGGCATTCTTGTCAGATGCCCGAACCACCTCAGCTGGCTCCTTTCGATGTGGAGCAGCAGCTGCTCTACTCTGAGCCCCTCCCGGATGGCCGAACTTCTCACCCTATCTCTAAGGGAGAGGCCAGCCACCCTTCGGAGGAAGCTCATTTCTGCCGCTTGTATCCGCGATCTCGTTCTTTCGGTCACTACCCACAGCTCGTGGCCATAGGTGAGGGTAGGGACGTAGATCGACCGGTAAATTGAGAGCTTCGCTTTTACACTCAGCTACCTCTTTGTCTGTTTATCCTTCAGTTTAGTTTAATTCAGTTTTCATGATTGATGGTTTGAACTCATTATAGGTTTTAATTTAACTATATTTTTATTTTGTTTTCATTGTTAAACAAAATACATATTCTTTTTAATCTGTTTTGCTTTTGTTACGCAGCATGACCTCTGAAGTGAGTTGTTCTCTTTTGCATTTCAATCTTTGATTACAGATTATATGAATTGATTGAAGCATATCGATGCTTCTTCTTTGTTTATATTATTTTTATAGATTTTTTTAAAGCTTAAAATTGTTACAGAAAGTTTTACTTCCAATATCTTTGAAGCTTCTTATTGATCATTCAGCAGTGATAACAAAATTAGTTCATGCTGGTATGTGTAGTGTACTCACACTTTACATACATAAACTATCTGATATTATGAAGTAATAATGATTTAATTTGCATCTCAATTCAGTTCAATTGAATTCTATTTTATTTTATTTATCCACGTCACAACAAAAGTCACCTCATTGCGCTGTTAATTAAGCAATAACACCAGAAAAACAGTGAACTTTATATCCGGGTGTAACTACTCGTTAGTTACGACATGTGGCTCTTCATATATTGAACAAATAATTTTTAAATAATAATAAAATAAAAATAATATTTATAAAGATACTTAAATGAACTTTAGTTAACTTTAATGAGCAGCTGTTGTGTGAAAATGTTTTAAACTCTCATGAAAATTAAAATAGTACTTAGTTTTTAAAATAAACGTTTTAATTACTGTCACCAGATTATCATCAGACCTCCTCACTGATGTTTTATTTGTTGGACTGTTTGGAGAAACAGCAGAGCCACAACGCTTAAAAATGCATCACGAACGGTTTAAACCCGGAAATCATCAAATAGTTTGGGACATATTATGGGCAGAAATCTGTGCCATCAGAAACTGAATTTGAATAAGTTAAATTTGAATTTGAATTGCTCAGATTGAATCTGAATTGTAACTTGAATAAATGCTTTTGAAAACTGAATTTGAATTAGTCTAATTTGAAATTGAATTTATGGTTTGAAAATGATCATCACTAAATTGAAATTTAATTTTATATTTTGAAAATGAATTGATTTGCTTTGAAACTGCATTTTATCCTTTAAAAATTCAGCTCTTGAATAATTTCAGTTTCACTTCTCACCATTCAGTTTCAGTTCTACAATTCAATTTCAGTTCCAAAATTCAGTTTTTGGAACTTACATCCGGTTCCGGTTCAAGCGCAGATTAATAGAACTACGTTTTACTAGCGGACCGAAAGTGCTACTGACGGGAATGTACAGCATCTTGAGCTGAATTAAGACTTCAGAAGTCATTCGTCATGTCGAATGACCAGCGGATAAACTCTCAGGTTTGTAATAAATGTATTACATGTATAAGAACAAGCGTCATGTTAACAAATGATAGCCGTAAGGTAACTTTTATGCTTATTGTAGCTGTTAGCTAAAAACGCTAATTTAGCTTAGTTTGCCCTGAATTCAGCTTTGACAAACAAATATGATCGACTGTAGTAGAATTCCAAAGTTGTCATCTTGGACCCTCTCAGAGTACCCCCTCTGTATGCTTGTATGCTACAGTAGGGAAACATGCAAAACAGTGTCCAAACCTTTGTATTTTAGCTTTATTTATGTCTTACACAGCATCACAACTCTTTGGCTAACTTAATAACTTTAGCTAACGTGAATAGTTAGTCTAATTCATTAGTGTAACATTACTGGATCACCTCTGTTTGAAGTGATATAATATGATATACAACTATCACTGTGTTTAACTACCATAATAATTCTTAGGGTACTGAGTGCATGCTTAATTAGATTTTGTTTTTTAAAGCATACTGCTCCATTACTATATTTCACAGGCTGAAGTTGTCGGGTCACCTCCTAAATCGACCATCTTTTACAGGTGTTTTGTGCCAGAAATGGAGTGTCCACTGAAGACTGAAGATACTGAATCTCTACGCCTTGCTATTGATCCCTTTTGTGCCTTCATCTAGACAAGAGACAAACTTAACCACTCTCATATGCTCTGTACCTACATCACCTTCCCTGACAGTTGTAGCTTGGCTCATCTGAGGGTGAAATTATAAGAATGTGTTATTTTGCAAAGTGCTCTCTAGTGTTCCTAAATAAAATATGGCATTGAGGTCATTTCTTTTGAATTAATCCCTCCTTCTGAAATATAAGAACCTCTCCTGGTTTTAATGGCACTTTGGATTTCCTTACTTTCTGTTCCACTTCCAAACCCAAATAGATGCTGACAAGCTGACACAGTAACATGGAAGAGGGGAAAGAAGTTGGAAAGGACTACTAAAAATAAACCCAATGCCTAACAATGAAAAATGTAAAATAAGAACAATAATAATAATAAAGATAAAAGATGAAGTAACAAGTTTTTAGTTTATTCCAAATGATCATCCAGATGTCTGTGACATGTGATGACAAACACCATAATGGAAGGCCTTAGTCATCACATGCTTAAACTCATCATATATTTTTGCATATGCTGAACAGGCAGTCAGACATGCTGTAACTGTGGGGTAGAAAACTGCATGAACACTATACAGCAGGGGTCTCAAACTCCAGTCCTCGAGGGCATGGAAAAGTTGCATGACACTGGCCCTTGAAGACTGGAGTTTGAGGCCCCTGTCATATGGAATATGACAGGTGTGGTTGAACTGCATGAAGACTCTGAAGTTTCTCTTCTCTTCTGGCAGGACAGGAATGTGGCCTTGTCCTGTGAGCCACAGTAAGGGTGTACTTGGAGTAGAACTGGACTGTCACCGGCCTCAGGCTCTTCACCCTTTTCAAAGACAAAGCATTCATTTAGATAAAATATTAGATATTGTTTACCTGTAAATGCACAAAGTAAATTTTGAAATGTAATGAGTGTCAAGAGTGAACAAGCACTGATAGTGTAATCTACAGCTGTGGCCAAACGTTTAGAGAATGAGAAGTGTTGTTTGCTTATTTACAAAGTTTGCTGTTTCAGTGATAGTTGTATATCATATTATATCACTTCAAACAGAGGTGATCCAGTAATGCTGCACTAATGAATTAGACTAACTATTCACGTTAGCTAAAGTTATTAAGTTAGCTAAAGAGTTGGGATGCTGTGTAAGACAAATAAAGCTAAAATACAAAGGTTTGGACACTGTTTTGCATGTTTCCCTACTGTAGGGGTCTCTGCAAGCATACAGAGGGGGTACTCTGAGAGGGTCCAAGATGACAACTTTGGAATTCTACTAGGAACAGTCGATCATATTTGTTGTCAAAGCTGAATCCAGGGCAAACTATGCTAAATTAGCGTTTTTAGCTAACAGCTACAATAAGCATAAAAGTTACCTTACGGCTATCATTTGTTAACATGATGCTTGTTCTTATACATGTAATACATTTATTACCAACCTGAGAGTTCATTCGACATGACGAATGACTTCTGAAGTCTTAATTCAGCTCAAGATGCTGTAGATTCCGTCAGTAGCACTTTCGGTCCGCTAGTAAAACGTAGTTCTATTAATCTGCGCTTGAACCGGAACCGGATGTAAGTTCCAAATGTAATGGAGAAGGCTTTAGGACCCAGGGGACTCAATGGAGGGCATAAAAGAGGGAGTAGTAAGAGGTGCTGAGGATTTCAACTGACAAGCGGCTGTGAGTAATGGATGCATGAGTAGGTGAAGAGACGAAAAGTTTTAATTGCCTACGATGCAAACTGTGGTTTTAAACCTCTAGATGAGGTTCAAGGTACAGGCTGTTTGTCTTTTAGTGTCCTTTCTTAAATTTTGTTGAAATGTATTTGATGTTTATTATAATTTATGTTTTAGTAGTGATTTCTGTTGAAGAAAAGGCCAAGACAAATCAGGTGTGCAGCAAATACAGTTGCCTACTCGAGGTATGTTAATTTAATATATTTGACATTAAAAAAAAGGGGAAAAAGTCTATTATGCATTATAATTTAACTTATATTGTATTCCCTCCTGTAGGGCAGGCTGCACATGCGAACTTGTCACTGTTTTTTCCTCCTTCTCTGTGTGGTTGTGTTTTTTTTGGTTTTAGCAGGGTCACTGTTTTTAATTATTTCTGTTGTTTTATGCCGGGTTTTGCTTATTTTTATTGGGTTGGTGCAATACTAAGCGGGCAACGTGCAATCCCTGAGTGGGGCTCATACCTTGGGGGAATGAGGACTTTTTAGAGGTGCTCTGTGTGTGGATTTGCCGTGATTAAGGTTTATTAAGAGTGCTTTTGTACCGTTTTGTACCACCGTTTATTGCCTGAGCTAGCACTTGGTGCATGCTATAAGTGTTCGGTTGGGCCTGTATATGTTTGAGGTGGATTTGTCTCTTTTAGAGTGACGAGCACCTGGTACCACCAAGGAGGAACAAACCCTCAGGTGATAGTTGCATTGCTGGCAGGTTGCACCAATACTACCTTTTTTTTGTAGTGATGTTTTAGGTTTTTTTTTTCTTTTTCTCAAAACTTTGGTGTCCTGTTATATTAATAAATTTTTGAACATCTTTTACTGATATCGACCCTCTTGTCCCGTTTATTCTGGACTCGGTCATGTGAGAGTTTTGGGCCTGAAAGTTCGTACCAGTAATAGTAGAGGCCCACAGCGGTTACTTGGTGGCTTACACCACGCTACACAAAAAACTGAATTGTAGAACTGAAACTGAATGGTGAGAAGTGAAACTGAAATTATTCAAGAGCTAAATTTTTAAAGGATAAAATGCAGTTTCAAAGCAAATCAATTCATTTTCAAAATATAAAATTCAATTTTAATTTAGTGATGATCATTTTCAAACCATAAATTCAATTTCAAATTAGACTAATTCAAATTCAGTTTTCAAAAGCATTTAGTCAAGTTACAATTCAGATTCAATCTGAGCAATTCAAATTTAACTTATTCAAATTCAGTTTCTGATGGCACAGATTTCTGCCCATAATATGTCGCCTTGTTTTAATCTTTGCCTTCATCTAAACTTTAATGTTTATTATTAGGTATTGAAAAGATAAACAGACGATTTAATTATCTGTATAATATAATCGATTGTTTCTAAACATTGACATTTTCTACTAGGATCCATTACAACTAAATGTTTAGCGTACAGGAACTTTCTGGGGAGCAAACAGTCCGTCCATTTGTCTTTCAAATTACATAAATCTGACATATAAAAAGACAAAAATATAACAGTCAAACTGACCTGCTGCTGCCCCCTCAAATCCCAGGAGAAGAAAGAAGATGAAGGCTTTCATCTTTCTTCTTTCTTCATCTTCTTCATTGTGACCATAAACATCCAAACCTTTAACAGACTTTATGCGTTTGCTTGTCCAGAAAAAGCTAAAATGGAGAACCAGGAGAAACATCACCATTAGCCTTGATCAGAGCCAAAAGGGATTTACTCTGAGAGTAAACGTCACTGAAATCAACGAAACTGAAAGTAAAATATCTTCATATGAACCAGTTTATCACGAAGGGAAGTTTTCATCTGGTCTTTATAAATTTTTATGTTATGACAGGTTTAGTTCGTGTTATGTTGGGTATACACTGTATAATTTATTTTCTATTCAGTGGATAAAATCTTATTAAGTTTCTCAGTGGAGTGATTTGTATTAATTTTAAACGCATACACTGATACACACTCATCCCCCCTCCCCTTCCAAACGCATTCGATGCTTGTTCCCTCCCGGTGTTGTGCCAAAAAGTGATTGCCGGTATTCTGAGAAACCATCCTACTTTGACGTCCTACCCGTATTATGATTTGACGGTGACTTGTGACTAAACCTAACCCTACCCTTAACCATAACCCTAACCATAACTTTTAAGAAGTATTGCGGATGGGTGAGAGAAAAAGAAGCTAATTTGGGTTTGGTGTTCTGCACATGCGCGGCGGCTGCGCAGAAACATTGGGTAGGATGTTTTTTGAGGTAGGATGGATTCCCAGAACACTGGAATTGTGTTGTTTGTGTCACTGTAAGTATAACCCCCTGCACTGTGTCCAAAACATGTCTGTGTGTTCTGCTCCCGTGGTCCACCTGCATCGTGTCATAACAAAGAGACAACTCATTTTAAATTGTATTTTTAAGAAATTTGTTCCTAGCAGCTTCTCACAAACAAACACATTTGCTGAAATTGTTGAAGTGGACTGAAAGAGGAACAGGAACGGTAACAAACAAGTCTCACACTCTTGAGTCCAATCAATTAAAATGTCTATGACAGTTTAATCGACAGTTTAATCGTATTCCTGCATAATGTGAATGTGACAATGTGAATGTGAATATAAACAATAGGTTTTTTTTTTAAAGTAATTACATAAACATCGATTAAACTGTCATGGACAGTTTAATTGATTAACTGAGAAATTGTAGAAAAAACAGGAACCTGTAAATATTTGGAGTTTAGTTGGATGAAATACTTTCATCATGATTTAATCATCAAACCTGCTGTTGGTTAATTTTCCTTTGACCATCTAATTGAGTATTTGGTTCAAGACTAAGCCACTGTGGTCAAGGCAAGTTAATACCATCTAAACAAGAGTTTGGACTGTGATCTAAATGACAAATTTTCAATGTACTGCAAAAACAAACAAAAAAACATTGACAGCATGTGTCAGTAAAAACATCAACAAACCTCCAGTTTGGTTGAAGCGCTGCTTTAAATTATTAATGGAGGAAAAAACGCAGTGTTCCTCTCCCAGTGCTGTGTATCTGCTGCATCGTTCATCCACTGCTGTTTGGGTTCAGCTCTCCTGGTGCTGCTGTCATAACGAATCATCTGAACTTCATCAATCATCCCTGTCATGGACTCTGGGGACTCGGGGTCCGTGAGCAGTGTGGGCTATTATTATTATTATTATTATTATTATTTGGTGTGTGTTTCATCTGCACTGCTACTGTTCTCTGTCCACATTTGTATGTAGGCAGGTGTGTGTGTGCATGTGTTTTCTGTGGCCTAGTCACAGCCACCTTCAGGCCTGGTGGGTGTGACCCTGCTAGGGGACTGGCCACACCCGAAGTCCTTGCCACACACCTGCTGCTGATCTGGGCTCGTCGGGGTAGCTATTTAGGAGAGCGATGGAGCTTCCACCGATGTGGGATTATTGTGTTAGACTTCACATCAGTCTTCTAGTTTAGTTTTAAAGTCAGTGAGTGTATGTCTGCTGGGATTAAGTGTTTTATATTGTTTTCCTCAGGAGGAGTGTGGGACAAGAGAGAGCAGTGAGCATGGGGAGTGCAGAGACACAGGAGCAGAGAGCACTAAACAGGGACTTTTTGGGAAGAAGACACGACACGGGAGTAAAGGGAGAGCACGGATTTATTGTCATTTTCGCACTGTAAATAAGCAAACCACTTGCAGTGAAGAGTCCACCGTTCTTTGTCCTCCTTTCCCCCACATCCCCACGGCTTGCCCTGGCAAACCGTGACAATCCCAAGTGTAGAAATACTTCATAGAGTGGGTCACTGTAAGAAATATTTAATGTAGTGAGAAACAGCTTTAAAAATCAGCACATTTTCAAAATAAAAAAACTATACCCACATAGCAAGCAGGTCTGCCCCGGATCTGGTGTGAAGCCGGCACTGCTGTCTGACTTCTGGCATGATAAGACGTATGTCATCCAGGTATGGGCCAAGCCTGGCATAGATGACACTGTTTATGTGATGGCATGCCACATCTGGCCCGATTGTGGTTTGGTGTATGTGGCCCAGGCTCACAGAAAACGGGTCTGGCCCGGATCCGGCATCAAGCTGGCACTTCTGACTGACTGGTGTCATGCCAAAGTGTATGTCAACCTGATGTGGGTCAGGTCTGGCAATGATGGCACTATTTATGTTCCTATTTTCATATTTTAGTTAGGAGACCCAAATGCCATGTTGCAATACTATACTGCTGTAGTAGCCAACGTTTCAAATACAGGTTTGACAGGTTTGTAGTGTACACTTATACAAAACCTAGTGACGGTTTACTCATTTTTGCCAGTGGGTGGCTGTAACTCAGGAGGTAGAGCAGGTCACCTACTGCTCAGAAGGTTAGCGGTTGTATCCCTGGCTCCTCCAGTCTGCATGTCAAGAGTGTGAATGTAGTTAGGAAGCACTCAGTTTAGAGAAAGTGTGTGGTTGGGTGAATGTGACATGTTGTATAGACCACTTTCAATAATCTGGGAACGTGAAAAGCGTTGTATAAGAATCTGTTCATTCACTGTCTGAACAGAGTTTTGTCATGTTACTGTTGCACTACTATGCACATGTTTTTATTACATGGCTTAATTAAGGTACACATTAGGCTGACATCTGGGGCCAGAGTTGAAACTCTTCTGGGCCAGTAAAGGAGCACCAGTGTGTCTGCAACTGGCCTTGTGCTGGCCCATGTGTGGGCCACCTCTGGCGAACCAGATCTGGGTCACCAAAGCGCCGCCATCCTTTGCGGTATGTGGGCCACGTGTAAGCACATTGTGTGGGCCAGATCCAGGCCACACCAATTTTGCTATGTGGGTAGTGTCTCCTCTATAAATACAAAAATAAATTTAAGAATCAATGTTTTATCTTTTCAGATCATCTTATATTAAAAACTTACATTTTGTAACTACAATATTGTTTTGTAAAAACTGTTGTTTGTAGGTCATTTTGATTTGGTTATACTTTCATGATGCATCAGTAATGATTTACAGTCCTTATTATGGCATTAACCCGACCATAGGCTGCCAGTAAATTATTTTTTAAATATTGTGCAGATTACAACTGTTTCTTTCCCCTTTTGCTTATATAACACTTCTATACCTTACACCATAAAACATTATGAGCAGCTTAAATTTTTCTTCGTCTACAATTAGAAATTTAATTTCAACAAAAATAATTTGTAAACCAACACTCATTTAGGTTTTGATGTTTGTAGCTGTTTGTAGGCTTTCTGCAAACAGCTACAAACATCAGGGACCCAAACCAGCCCTCTCACAGCCTGTTCTCCCTCCAACATCTGGAAAGAGGTGACAGAGCATCAGCTGCAGAACCAGCAGGATGCTTGAAGACTTTGCACTAACAATCCTTATTTTGGATTTGTTATCACTGTATTTTATTTCTTTTACTGATCATTGTAGCGTGGAGGCTGATGAGAAGCAACATTTTGTTGAAGCCTTTGTACTTCTGTAAAAAAAACAACACCAACAACAACAAAAACAAACAAACTGCGACATAAAAATAAACCTTGAATCTTGAATATGTGCAAGCCGAGAGTCTGTTTACAGTAACACCTGAGCCACCTGAGAGCAACACTATCTCTAAAGAACAGTTTCATTTTTATGAAGCTTACCTGCAGACACAGACGCTGTCCAGTAAAGAAGCAGCATCATAAACGTCCTCATTTTCAATTCAATTCTCTCAATATAAGAAGAAAAAAATAATACAACCGTTTATTGTTTTAATTTTGCCACAAAATGAAACTACAGCCTCTGAGTCCGCACGTGCTGTGACTCCTCTCTGACCAATAGGAATTCAAAGCTGGATGCGCCTCACCAGTAACCAGGCAAAATGAGAGAACTGAGGTTTATTTATTTACTAATTTATTTTGGAAAGTGAAAGGCTTCAGGCAGAAACAAAGAGCTAGTAGCGCGTAATCTGTGATTAGAGACCTAAAGTGACGTAGGGATTAAAGACACATACCAATCATGTATATTTGTGTCACAGCTGTTATCACATATTTTCTGGAGTTATTTGTACTTAATCATATTCTTACTAATGCCATTTTAAAAGTAGTTTAAATTATGCTCGTGTTTACACTCATATACAAATAACTTCCCCAAGTAATCCAGATGCAATTATTAATCCACCCACAAATTCATCTGGAAACCTATTCCAGCAAAATCAGCTGGAATAGCTGTGTGTCCTTCTCTTTCTGCAACGTTGCTGCAATGATAAAATAATGAAACGATCAATTCCTAAAATCAGAAATGTTGAATTTTATTTAAAAAAACAAAAAAAAAAACAAATAAAGAGGCAATATTTATGTATTATTGTCTAAACCGAAAGGCTACAGACTGGATATTATGTATTTACATATAAAAATTAAAATATAATGTTGGATTTTAAGACTTTCTGTTAGTTCTGGTAGTCTTTATTAAATAAAGTATGAGTTTACGTGCCAACACATGCCAAAGAACCCAACCCCTCTAAAAGCAGCTGGGTTCCTTTTATACTCTACCTGATTTAGGTAACCATTCTGGAAAGCACAAGTCTATAAAGTGTGGTGTTCCCAAAAGGTTGATTCTGTTCATCTGGACGTAGTTTTCAGTGGGAGAAACATTTCGTCACTCATCCAAGTGACTTCTTCAGTCTCAGCTGACTGCAGGTTTCCCCAATCTTATAAACAGTACATTTACACAATAGCTGAAACCAGCCCACTGAAGGAACAATGGGCTGTGAGGTCAGTTCCTTCATCATATGCAAATTGTCAAGTCTAGTGTTGGTAAACCAAATGAAAAAAATAAACATCCACAAAAGCAAACATCGAACCACAATACGACACACACACACACACACACACACACACACACACACACACACACACACACACACACACACACACAATACTTTTGTCACAAGGACACTTAATGGACTGGAGCTGGCATCATTACACCTAAGCTTACTGAGCTACTATCACAAGTTAAAGTGTAGCTAATCCATTAATATTTGGGCTGTATTCATGAAACTTTAGCTAAGTGTACATTTTATTTTAAAAAAAAAAAAGTCACAGAAATTTGGATTAATTGGGATTTTTGAAAAGCAAAAGTACAAAAAGGAGAAAAAGAGCAATGCAGTTTTACTGATATATAAACAGAGACACACCCACCAATGTGTTAAAAACATAACCCACACAACCCTCCAGAATCTCAACTTGAACTAAACTCTAGAAGAATGAGATTCAATATGTTTTGGACCAGAGAGCAAAGCTTCATATTTTCTGGGAGAAAATTTGCTCCAGGCCCAGGAACATCAGCAGTGCCTGTACAACAGAGGGGCGAGACTCAGTCAAATTTCATCAATTTGGTTTGTACCAATTTGTCACACTTCTGTTTGGATGAGTCCCTGCCACCTTCCAGCACCTTTTAGACTGGGTGCTGCACCCTCACGCTGCATATTCTGTTACTTTTTGGATGATGTCATCATACACAGTGACACCTGGGCAGAGAATGTGGAGCAGGTGCAGTCCTGGAGTCCCTGAGGCAGGCGGGTCTCATGGCCAACCCAAAGAAGTGTTGATGGAGGGAGGTACAGTATCTGGAGTACCACTTAGGAGGCAGGCAGGGCATCCCAAGACCAAAAAGGAGGTGAGTCACTTCTTGGGGTTGGCTGGTCAATACCCCCGGTTTGCTGTATACTGTGCTAGAGACAGCCGCTGCAAAGCTGCACAACCAAAAGAGTGGAGACAAAAAAATATATAAACATTGAACCATCTTGCAACGCTGTGTCCGTGGGGTCCTTTGTCACAAGGACACTTAATGGACCTGAGCTGTCACTATGACACCTGAGCTTACTGAGCTACTATCACAAGTTATATTGTATCTAGTCCATTAACATTTAGGCCGTATTCATGAAACTGTAGCTAAGTTTACATTTTATAACAAAAAAGTCACAGCAATTTGGATTATTTGGGACTTTATTGACAACCAAAGTACGAAAAGGAGAGAAAGAGCAATGCCGTTTTACTGATACATATTCTACTAATTAATTTTTTAAAGTTTACAGACAAATGAGGAAAACCTTGAAAAATCCTGAACTATAAGCAGAAACACATCTACCAATGTGTTAAAAACATAACCCACACAACCCTCCAGAATCTCAACTTAAACTAAACTCTACAATCAAAAAACCCTCAAAACATGTCTTAAATCAAACAACAGAGAATAAACATCATCTTCATTAATTAAGAAAAAAATTCAGACATACAGAAAAATCTTTTAAGGTCTCCTGGAATTCAACACAAGATTGTCTTTTAAATCTAATTTTACGAAAAACATAAGTAAACATGTACAAAATTTGAAAAATATTATGATTCGTTTATCACTGAGAGTGAGGGAATCTCAGCATTCATGAGTGATGCAACAATTTACAAGAAAACCCCAGAAAAACTAAACTATTGGATTTTTGAGTTAAGATGAACATACAAAGGCTTAATTATGATTGTACTACAACTGCTGTGATGATTCCATTGTTTCATGTCTCTCCAGGCGGTCACATCTTTGTTAAATCTTTCAAAGAAAGACTTTTTTAAACTGAAAACAACAAATTCAGAATAATTTCGTTTCACCATTATGATGTTTATATTAAATATTTGCCAGCTCATTTTCAAACTTCTTGATTAACCAGCATCTGCAACTATATTTTAGATTTTTTTTTAAACAGATTTTATGATGTGAACAATCAATGAATTCTAGTTTATGGAGAAGAATGAGCTGAACCACATCTTCTTTCAGCTCCAAACCTACAGAGATAAAAAAAGAAACACAATAAATGTTAGGATTGTTCAAATCCACAAATAACCTATTTACAGTTTCATTAAGATCTAAAATTCTGATTCAATCGAGTATTTACTTCATATGTTTCTGAAGGGAATTAACACATTTGTTTTAATGTCGTTAAATCATTTCATGAAACGTTATTTTGAAAGCATCTTTCTCTTAATATGATTTAGTTATACTAAAGCACTTTTTTTTGGATATATTTAAACAGGAGATTTTACTACAGCCACTATTTTACATAAGTTTTAAAAGAAAGCTAAAACATGAGACAGAAATATGAAGTAACTCACTATGTGCAGAGCTGTTTGTGGTTTCGGCTTGAGGAAGCATTTGCTCCTGGCTCTCTGCAGCTGTAGGTCAGAAACACAATGTTAGTCCACATCCTGCTCACATCTGTCACTTTTACAACAATCGAACACAACAGGAAACAGCCCTGAAAGACTGTTTAGATTAGAGTACAGAAACCCTTTTTAATTTAGTGTAGACAAGAGATTAGAGAAAAGGGACAATGTGTAACTTACGAGATGGGGGACGTTTGTCTGAAGTAAAAAGGAAAAAATACATCATTTTAATAATTTGTTATAAATGTTAACACAATTTTTTTCACGTATTATACAAGGCAGGAAACATAATTTCATGTTTTTATTTTGTAATCTGGACAAAAGCATTAATTTAATTTCTAAAATTAAAAACATAGACACTGGGCTTACTCACTAATGTGTTTATAGATATATTCTGACTTTTCCCACAAAATGTGCTCGTGTTAAATTTATAAGTAAAGCGACTGAAGGTAGAGAACGTACGCATTTCTAATGCAGGTAAAGGTGTACCTCAGGATGTGTTTGTTTGGCAGAGTTGATGGTTAAGAAAAGAGAAACAATGTTTGGGTTTCAATAACTGAGTTGGTGGTTATTTTGTTCCCTGACACACAAACTGTAGCTCAGGTGTAAAAAACAAAATAAAAAACAAAAACAGACAAAACACAAAGACAGAAAGAAAAACGATGCAGAAAAATTAAATAACAGACAAGAAGAAAAAGTGAAGTAACTGGACAAAAATCTACAAGTGCAGAGAAATGAAGGGGCAAGTTATGAAACACAACAAGCATGATTAATGAATATTGTTGTAATATATTGAGGATTTAAAAGAGTCTGATCATCCTGCTGGCAGAGAAAGTGTTAAAATACTTAAATATTAACCTGAAGACTCAGCTTACACTGCTTTTGGTTGTTACCTGTTTAATCCTGTGTGCATTGTTTGTTTTCTTTTGAAAACTGTTAATAATGACTTCAATTAAGTCATATTACTCTTACTATCATTATTATTGTTTGCACTATGTCATCATTGTTGTTTGCATTATACAAGAAACATCCAGGAAGTTTGTTTCTCACCTGTCCTCTTTTTGTAAATAAAGAATGCGATCACAGCGATGGCAGCAACAACAACCACAGCAACAACAACAGGGATGATCAGGGAGAAGGAATTTCCTGTGGATCACAGAACAAACAAAAGGTGAGAACAAAAAGTTTCCAATCAGATAACAATCATGTACAAGAGCTTCGTTTATGGTCACTAAATATTTGTCTCACTAATTTTTGTTTTCATTCCAACAATAAAAGTTCTGCCATTTAATTTAATTTCAATACATTGCCAAAAAATTTGAACATATGTTTCAAAATATACATTTTCCCCAATTTACTATTTAATCTTCTAAAACTGTCCATTCGTCAGATAATCAGTGGCCACACATGAACATGTTTTATATTCATCAATGTTCAGCAAGGAAAAAATGTGGTGGAAAAACACAAGTTGGTCTAAACTGATTTAGGTCTTAAAATTATTCTGACAGAAAGAATATCAAAGATACTCGCAAATTTAAATAAACTGTGAAAAGACAGCAAAGTGGACAATAATTTAAATCAGAGCGCTCAAAACTGTAAATGTTAATATTTATTAACAAATTAACAAATCAGTATTAAAAATATTTAATAAATCTGTATACAACTGGGGAGGAATTAAACTTTTCATCAAACTCAAATAAAACCACGTGAACTGCACGGTTTTTACAGTAAACTAAAAGCGTGTTTCCTACCTTCATCACTTTTACCCTTGTTGGTCTTGACCTCTGATTTGTCCAGTTTGGTGACGATGTCCTCGTTCACACCAGAGAGCTGAAACACACATCTGTATCTGTGCCAGTCTTCAGATTTCACTGATGAGACATCCAGGTCAACACTCATCTGGAAGGTCCCGTCATTGTTGGTGAGAATCTCTCCTTTGTTCACACCCTCATGAAGCTCCACTCCATCTTTTTTCCAGAACATCTCGGCTCTGTTAGGATAGAAACCTGTAGTGTGGCAGCTGACTGGAGAGGAGGAAGACTTCTGGAGGAGAGACAGTGAGGGACGAACTGGAGAGATATTAAAATTATCATAAGGAGTGAGAAGGATTAGAAATGAGTATATCAGAGCTAAAACTGTGGAAGATGATCTGCTATGATGACCAGGAGCAACTTTAAAAGATTATTATTATTATTATTATTAAAACCATACCAATGTCTTTTGATGTGATGTAGTTTATTGAATTAAATTAAATTTAAAAAATGTATCAAAATGCCACACGAAGTGCAATTATATTAACCCTTTCACACATAGTGGTCACTACAGTGGACAACTATTCAAAGGCTGTTTTCTTGTATTTGTGTCAGTGTTGATGGTAAACTTGCACATAAACCACTACATTGGACACTGATGAGTCCAATAGGCAGGGTTATAGTTGTTACATATATTGTTATACTGTTATAAAATATTTTTAAAATATATTTAAAAATATATTTGTTATGTTATAGTTTTTACACAGTGTATATTAATTATTCATTTGTCAAATTCATAAGTCAAAATGTTTGTTGTACAACTAAGTGGACATGTAAAAATACTCTTTGAAAATGAAAAGCATATGTTTAAAAAAATGAAGTTCAAAAATCTTTTTTTCATGCCTTAAGATGAATAAAAATACTCAAGAAAAAAAAGCTCTGATTGAAGTTTTCATAATTCATGCATGAAAAGGTTAATTTAATATCATATTAAGTAATAAACTGAGACATATAACTTTTGGTTAACAATCTAATTCTGGTCATAAATTTTACCTGTTTTCATCAGAGAGCTCCTCCCATAGGTCACATACGTCTTCAGCCACTCAGGACAAATCTGGGTGAGGTAGTACTTATACTGTGCGATCGAAGCTTTGTTACTGTCCAACTTCGTCTTTGTCCTGTGAGCCTGTTGTTTTGGAGCGACCCACGTCGCTGTCTTCAGGTCAAAGCTTAAGAAGTCCTCTCCATCATAGCCGTCTTGGTGATATCCATTCACTTCACCTGTTTCTTCATCCCATTCACAGCCGCACATCCGCTGGACAATGTGAACACCTGAGAGAAAAACAGAGACAAAGACTGCAGTGAACCAGAGAGAGGCTGCACTAAAGTCTTATACTGACACAGAGACGTGATCAACATATAGAGGATCTACATTTATGGCTGTTTTTGTCTCAGTGGAAGATTTTTAAAACAAATCATCATTAACAATGTAGATTTTACAGAAAGACACTGGGAAAAAACAGAATTAATTTTCTCCCATTAGCACATCTATGTCCTGCCTGCAGAGATCTATGCTGCTGTAGGTGGAGCAACTTCCTGTGAGCTGCAGGATCAGACAAACACACTAAGATGGATCCTCAGCAGCCGACACAGATCCTGATTCTAGATTTACTTTCCATCCTCTGAAACTCTGCAGCCGTCATCAGCCTGTGAGAAACTAAACACCAGACTGTCCTGAGGTTTTTCTAGAGGTGTCTGTTTAATATGATCATGTGACATTAATCTAATCTGGAGTTCTACTTACAGTATTTTAGGCTCCAGCAAATGCTTCATGTCATCATTGATGACGATGCAAGAAATAATTTTTGATAAATCAGTTAAGTTCTCTGGTAGCACGGTGGCACAGTGGTTAGCACTGTTGCCGCACAGCAAGAAGGTCCTGAGTTCAATTCCACCATCAGGCCGGGATCTTTCTGTGTGGAGTTTGCATGTTCTCCCCGTGTTTGCGTGGGTTCCCTCCGTGTGCTCCGGCTTCCTCCCAGCGTCCAAAGACATGCAGCTTGTGGTGATAGGTTAATTGGATAATCCAAATTGCCACTAGGTGTGAATGTGAATGGTTGTCTGTCCCTGTGTGTTGTCCCTGCGACGGACTAGCGACCTCGCCTCTCGCCCTATGACAGCTGGGATAGGCTCCAGCGCCCCCCACGACCCTGAAAAGGATAAATGGAAGCGAATGGATGGACAGTTAATTTCTTGTGCTGTGACCTGACAAAAAGGTGAAAAAGGTTCCCCTAAGATTTTACAACCATGTTGTCATTTTTTATTACATTTACTAAGAGCAGAGGACTGAAACAATAATTCAGACCTTGAATTCGACTCCATGCTGGGACACTTTGGTGTTTTTCAGCGCTGTGACCAGATCAGATTTTGCACTAAAAATATTAAAACATTCATGTTAATGATATTATTGGATGTGTAGCACAGAGATCTGTGAGCGTCTTTGAGTAGGAACCTGAGCGCCACTGATGCTGTGATGAGAGCCGACAGTCTACAGGTGAGAAACACGAGGAGTCATTCCTGCTTTTAGAAAATCGCTGCTCTCAAAGCCACGAGAAAAGCCTCGGTGCATCATCACAGGTATTTTCTTTATATGAACATGTGGAGTTACACACCATCTAAACTCAAATTCCACACTTTTCCAGCCCGTTTGGTTAATAAATTATATTAAAATTGCTAATCAATAAATCAGGACGGCGTGAATGTCCATGGAACTCTCGCAAAAACACCTTATAGGCGGCAACAAAGTGAATGTGGGATGAGCTGGTGTTGTCTGCACTCCTTTGATTGGAGTGTAGATTAAGTGGAGGAGAAACATGAGGAGGCCCTGCATGAGTCAAGAAAACGCTCACAGCTGTCACTGAGAGAGGTGGGCGGGTTGATCCAAATATCGATAGTATTGATACCAACACTAGTATTGGTTACGGATCAATACTAGCATGACTGGATTGATTCTTTGCTTTTATCCTTCAAGTTCAGTATGTAGCCCGCTGAACTGTGTTAATTATTTCTGTAGTGGGGGTTCCCTTTGTCCAACCAAACATCCTACAGTTTAAAATTCACAAGGCACTGCTGCGCTGTAGTAATGTTTTGTATGCAGGCAAAAGAAGTCCAATTATCAAACTCGAAAGCTGCATTTTATTGTTTATTTTTCCAGTTTGGAAAGCAATAACAAAGATCCATCTTTGTTCCTACCCGCTGCTTCTCCTGCTCTGGTTAAAAAAAACAACATAGGCCCACCCCAGTGCTTTCTGGTCCTATACCAGTCCCTTTGTTTATATATATATAAAAGACTTTACAGTTGTTCCTGGCTGACTTAGCAAGATAAACAACAAAACAAAACAAAACAAAGCGAATATTAACCTACAAATAAACTTGTAAATAACCCAAAAATATAAACAAACCAACAACAAACCCAACAAATTTCAGAATAACAAAAATAAAGAATAAATAGCTCCAACAACTTCTTTGGAAGAGTAAACCTCAAACATGCACTATGAAAAATGTCCAAACCTTTTTGTTTTCTTTAGAGACAGAATTTACATCACAGGTCTCCAAAAAACTGAGTTTCAAAAAGCATGAAAAGCTGAAAAGTGTTTTGTTGTGTCAACTAATTACTGTGGAAAGTAACAATCACAGTGATATAGTGGTCATGGCTCACTACTCTCCCCCAATTAGCTGCCTGAATAACTTAAAATTATTGGAGCTGATATCGACAATACTGCCCCTGTTGAAAGTGTGAATGTTTTTGTTGAAAGTCCAGGCAAGTATATACATGTTAAATGACAAGATATACGTGTTCAAATAGCGTCAATTAACTCACAACTATATGATAATTCTTCATAACTAAACAATAAGAACAAGTAGTCTGATGTCCTGTGATCATTATGAAGCTATAATTTGAAATACAATAACACGTAAAGTTTTTGTACAAAGTATCGGTGTCGGATGAGTATTGTTGATACCACCCTGAATATTACATCACGAGTCACTGAGCGCCAGAAAAAGCAGCTCAGTGATCCGCCCAGTACGCTGTTATTTTCCGCCGCTCTTAAATGTTGTGTAGATGAGTGACCAAAGCTGTGTTTAATGACCAAAACAACCCGTGGGTTTTTTCACCGCTCATAGGGAGGCTTTCTGGAAGGGTTCTTGCTAAATTTTATGGCGTCCTGATTTAACAACACCACCTTAATAATCAACCTTCAGCCAGTTTATGGGAAAAGTGAGAAATTTTAACAATTTACTGTCCTTGATTATATTTTCAAGTTGTTGTTTATTAGTAAAAAAAAAAAAACATTAAATTTTAAATCGGGGACCAAAAATATTAAACATAGACTGAAACTCAAATTTACTGTCTTATTTTTAAAAAGGACAAGAATCATTGTAAAATTTAGAGAAACTGTTAACTGTTAAACGTCTGTCTGTTAGTTTGTGTTTCTTATTTTTGATCTACTTCTCACCAAACTGTTATTGAAGTAAAACTAAAAGTTAAATATTTATTTTCCACAGAGTAGCTTTAAGTTTGTCACCGATTTATTTATGGAACCTCTGCTAATGAAAGATAATCCTGAAAACATTTCCTCATGAAAACGGGCTGAATGTTTTATTTTCATGCATTTAGTTAAATTCATTCATAAAGAGGCCGTGGACAGTGAACGGGCCTTTGAGCTGTCTCTACTTTCAGCCAGAGGCGGAGGCAGACATATGATACACCCGGGGCTTAGCCCTAAAGGGTAGTATGCATGTGGGATGGGGGGGGGGGGGGGGGGGGGGGGGGGGGGGTGTTTAGAAATGACTGAAAGATTAATAGGCTCTGTTTTGAGTTTTGTTCGAAAAAGAATGACTTCATATAGGGAAAAATATATATCACATATGCAGGACACCTTAAACTAGTTTTTTAATTAAGCAGCAAGGCAGAACAAGGTCAGGGTATCGAGGACTAAACCCCAATTCAACCAGACCCAGAACTGATCCGGAATTAAAACAGGACTACAACAGTTCAAAATCAGGACTACTGAGGACTTAACCAAGACAGAACCAGAATCAGAACTAGATGATAGTAGCACTAAAAATCATCATAGACCTGCACTACACTTATTTTTTTAATTCTACCAAAGTCCACTATGTAGATTCACAAAAGTTTATATAATTGTTTAGCCTTGTTGTGCAAACAAGCCTGCATAACTTAATAAATATAGAATTTGAAAAATAACAAACCTAAAAAGAAACACTAGGTACGAGATACATGAGTACCTATGATACAGTGATACTTTTGGTAAACAACCATTTGACTAACATGTGTGTCTCACCTGCTCTTGTTCCATTTCTGTTCTGTCCTCATTCTCCCTCTCTGTTCCTCTCTCTCTCCCTCTCTGTTCCTCTCTCTCCCTCTTTGTGCTGACAATCATCAAATATACAGTTGAAACCAGATATTTACAAACTCTTCAGATAAAAACACAACACTTTTATAATTGTAACATCAAATCAGACTAAATGTTTATTTTTTTAGATTGATAAATATAAAAAACATATTTGTTAACTTTAAGAGTAAAGAGAGAAACTATCTGTATTTCTTAATTGTAAATGGCACCAAATTGTATTCAAATTGAGCCACACTTATGGAGCTCCACAGTTCTTTTTCTTGTGTTTTGGTTGACATCTCTTGATGTTCCCATGTCAAAGAAACAGGCTTTGTGTTTTGCCTTATATGCATCCACAGCTGTGCCACCAATTCACTCACATGGACTCTACTAACCAATCAGAAGCTTCTTCAGCTCAGAATAGAATCTTTGGAGTTTCTTATTAATTAACAATAAACTTAGTGTACATGTGCTCCTAAATTTGATGAAAGTGATAAAAAAATAGACAGCTCCCTCTTTTTATTCTGACATTTAACTAATTCAAAAGATATTTCAACATTTATTTATCCAAAACAAAACAAGTTTACTCTAAATTGATGTTGTACAGTAAAAAAATGTTCTTGTGTTTTCCCTAAAGTGTGTGTAAATATCTGGTTTAAACTGTGAATATACTGCTGTGTATTGAAGTTCCTCTTGTTTTGCATAGAAATATACTGAACAACATACAAAGCATAATAAATAAAATAACATCTACCAGAGTTTTTTCTTTGAAAGAAGCCCCTTATGTCCATTCTTGTGTATCAGTGCATTACTGAAACCGATTTATTTAGCCGTGGAGGGTAACAACTAAAAACAACTAAAAATGTTGTTGATCGGCTTTTCACTTCGCCGTTTGTTGATTCACTTGAAGAGCAAGTAACGTAATATTGGTCAAGTGATCAGTTTGATATCAATCTTTCGTGGTTCACCGTCATATTTACATTATTTGTACAGTACAAATGGTTTGCTTTGGTACCTGGTCGAACTTCAGTTCTCCTCTGTCTGCCTGGCTCCGTTTCTCCAACAGCGCACTCGCAGGCAGCAGCTCCTCCCGCCCCCTCGCTCAGTCGCTTAGTGTCTGAGCTCGGATCATACCAATATTAGGGGGGATTTACGCACAGTCGTAAATTCCCACAGTGTACACTATGTGCTTCGAATATTGTGTGTGGTTTTTGTTTTATACAGTTGTCAGCCAGGCATCTAACTATGAAAAAATTACACTCCAAAAGACCCCGGGCTTCTGACAAAACAACCCGGGCTTAAGCCCAGTAAGCCACCCGCTCCACCACTGCTTTCAGCCTGTTACAAAGTCAACCCTGTTTGATTCTACTTTTTGTATTAAATATAACATTATTATTATTATTATTATTATTATTATTAATATTATTATGTGTTTAATGGAATCTGGAAAAACTGTTGTCAAAACTGTGACATCACAGCACATTTAACATCTCAGCTAGATGATAAATTATTTCATCCTAAGATGCTGTTGATGGTGTCTGACATATTTTCTTTTTCTATAATTTATTACAACATGTGATTATTTGTGAGGGACGTCTGAACTGAGACACGGAGCGACTTCCTGTGAGCTGCAGGAACAGACAAACACAGTAAGATGGATCCTGAGCAGCAAACTCAGATCCTGATCCTGGGTTTAAGTTTCCATCCTCTGAAACTCTGCAGCCTCCTATCGTTCTAACAAAAATCGTATAACTGCGGGAAAACTACACACCGGACTATGTTGAGGTTTTTCTAGAAGCTTCCACTGAAGGAGAGTTTCAGTCCAGGATTGTTTTTATTAAAAGTCAAATATTAGTTCACAATAATTGTAAAACAAATACATCTCAGACTGATTATTTAGATCCAGCTGATTTTCTGGAGATTAATTTCTGAATAATCGATTATTGAGAAATTGTAGCAAAAACAACCATCAAGGTTTCAGAGGCAAAAAATCCTAAATATAAACCGAAAACTTCAAATATCATGAATTTATCTTTATTATTTGATTATTGTACTGTAGTTCTACATTCATTATGAATTATTATGTTAATAATTTTAATCTGTAATCTGAATGAAACATTTAATATGTGTGCAAACCTGTTTACTACTGTAAACAAAACACACTGAAAACATTAACAGCAAATATCAGTAAAAATGAAACATGAACAAACCTCCAGTTTGGTTGAAGCGCTGCTTTGCAGTGTCAATGTTGGCTTTGAAAGACTGCTGGGAACCCCAACAGTTTGCAGTCTCTCTCTCCCAGTACTGCTGATCTGTGTTCCTGGCAACCCAGTCCTGTTTGGGCTCAGCTTTCTCCGTGTTGCTGTCATAATAATCAATCTGAACATCATCAACCATCCCAACAGCCACAAACTCTGGGAAGTTTGGGACTTGAGAGGATCCAGTAAGGAAATACTTCAGCGAGTGGGTCACTGTAAGAAACAGTTAATGTTGTGAGATCTCAGGAACACAGACTTATAAATTCTTTTATTTTTTAAATAACACAATAAGAAAAACTACAGCACATTAAGGACATCCTGTAATAATCCTGCTGTCCCTTCAATAAACACAAAATAGATTTATGAATAGATATTCAGTGTTTAATGTAATTTTTCTGATCCTCTTTTCTTCAAAACTTCAAATTCTAGTTTGAACCTGATTATTCACAGAAAGTTTTAAAACTGGTGTTTATCCTTCAGTTTGGTTTAATTCAGTTTTCATGATTGATGGTTTGAACTCATTATAGGTTTTAATTTAACTATATTTTTATTTTGTTTTCATTGTTAAACAAAATACATATTCTTTTTAATCTGTGACTTCTGAAGTGAGTTGTTCTCTTTTGCATTTCAATTTTTGATATTTCAAATTATATGAATTGATTGAAGCATATCGATGCTTCTTCTTTGTTCATATTATTTTTATAGATTTTTTTAAGCTTAAAATTGTTACAGAAAGTTTTACTTCCAATATCTTTGATCGATAATATTATCAATAAAACCAACGCTAATGTTAGGTAACTATTATTTGGGGAATATTATCTTAGCAATTGTTATTTTATGGTTTATTCTGTAATCAGGTTTTCAGTTGAGTTTTCAGTTATCAAAAGTCAACAATATTTGTTAGTTTAAAACGCTTCTCATTAGCGCTCCCTGGTGGACATTGTTTATAAATTGCAAAACTTTTCTGGTATTTCTCACCTGCAGCTTCTTATTGATCATCCAGCAGTGATACAAAAAATTAGTTCGTGATGGTATGTGTAGTGTATTGGCACTTTACATACATAAACTATCTGATATTATTAAGTAATAATGATTTAATTTGCATCTCAATTCAGTTCAATTGAATTCTATTTTATTTTATTTATACACCTCACAACAAAAGTCACCTCATTGCGCTGTTAATTAAGCAATAACACCAGAAAAACAGTGAACTTCATATCGGGTGTAACTACTCGTTAGTTACGATATGTGTGCGCATGTTTGTCAAACAGAAAATATTCACAAGCATAACACTGGTGAATAATACTGAAGACAATACAAAGCAGGAGTCTTTTAACTTTTAATAGACTACATCAAATGACATGTGGCTCTTCATATACTGAACAAATAATTTTTAAATAATAATAAAATAAAAATAATATTTATAAAGATACTTAAATGAACTTTAGTGAACTTTAATGATCAGCTGTTGTGTGAAAATGTTTTAAACCCTCATGAAAATTAAAATGGTACTTAGTTTTTAAAATAAACGTTTTAATTATTGTTACCAGATTATCATCAGATCTCCTCACTCATCTTTTATTTGTTGGACTGTTTGGAGAAACAGCAGAGCCACAACCTTTAAAAATGCGTCATGAACGATTTAAAGACGGAAATCATCAAATAGTTTGGGACATAAGTCGCCTTGTTTTAATCTTTGCCTTCATCTAAACTTTAATGTTCATTATTAGGGATGGAAGAGAGAAACAGACGATTTAATTACATGTATAATATAATCGTTTGTTTCTAAACATTGACATTATCTACACTGTAAAAAAAAAAAAAAAGTAATATAAAAGTATCTTACTGTATATTTTACAGTTTTGTACTGTTTTTCTGGAATATCATTAAATTTACATAAGTAGACTGTGATTTTACATGTCAAATGTAAAATAACATAACATCACTGTAAATGTAATAAAACACAATTTTCTTGTTTTTTAAATATATTTTTTTGTACATATGCATTCAGTGGGGCAAAAAAGTATTTAGTCAGCCACCGATTGTGCAAGTTCCCCCACTTAAAATGATGACAGAGGTCAGTAATTTGCACCAGAGGTACACTTCAACTGTGAGAGACAGAATGTGAAAAAAAAATCCATGAATCCACATGGTAGGATTTGTAAAGAATTTATTGGTAAATCAGGGTGGAAAATAAGTATTTGGTCAATAACAAAAATACAACTCAATACTTTGTAACATAACCTTTGTTGGCAATAACAGAGGTCAAACGTTTACTATAGGTCTTTACCAGGTTTGCACACACAGGAGCTGGTATTTTGGCCCATTCCTCCATGCAGATCTTCTCAAGAGCAGTGATGTTTTGGGGCTGTCGCCGAGCAACACGGACTTTCAACTCCCGCCACAGATTTTCTATGGGGTTGAGGTCTGGAGACTGGCTAGGCCACTCCAGGACTTTCAAATGCTTCTTACGGAGCCACTCCTTTGTTGCCCGGGCGGTGTGTTTTGGATCATTGTCATGTTGGAAGACCCAGCCTCGTTTCATCTTCAAAGTTCTCACTGATGGAAGGAGGTTATGGCTCAAAATCTCACGATACATGGCCCCATTCATTCTGTCCTTAACACGGATCAGTCGTCCTGTCCCCTTGGCAGAAAAACAGCCCCATAGCATGATGTTTCCACCCCCATGCTTCACAGTAGGTATGGTGTTCTTGGGATGCAACTCAGTATTCTTCTTCCTCCAAACACGACGAGTTGAGTTTATACCAAAAAGTTCTACTTTGGTTTCATCTGACCACATGACATTCTCCCAATCCTCTGCTGTATCATCCATGTGCTCTCTGGCAAACTTCAGACGGGCCTGGACATGCACTGGCTTCAGCAGCGGAACACGTCTGGCACTGCGGGATTTGATTCCCTGCCGTTGTAGTGTGTTACTGATGGTGACCTTTGTTACTTTGGTCCCAGCTCTCTGCAGGTCATTCACCAGGTCCCCCCGTGTGGTTCTGGGATCTTTGCTCACCGTTCCCATGATCATTTTGACCCCACGGGATGAGATCTTGCGTGGAGCCCCAGATCGAGGGAGATTATCAGTGGTCTTGTATGTCTTCCATTTTCTGATGATTGCTCCCACAGTTGATTTTTTCACACAAAGCTGCTTGCCTATTGTAGATTCACTCTTCCCAGTCTGGTGCAGGTCTACAATACTTTTCCTGGTGTCCTTCGGAAGCTCTTTGGTCTTTGCCATGGCGGAGTTTGGAGTCTGACTGTTTGAGGCTGTGGACAGGTGTCTTTTATACAGATGATGAGTTTAAACAGGTGCCATTCATACAGGTAACGAGTGGGGGACAAAAAAGCTTCTTACAGAAGACGTTACAGGTCTGTGAGAGCCAGAGATTTTCCTTGTTTGAGGTGACCAAATACTTATTTTCCACCCTAATTCACGAATAAATTCTTTACAAATCCTACCATGTGAATTCATGGATTTTTTTTTTTCACATTCTGTCTCTCACAGTTGAAGTGTACCTCTGGTGCAAATTACTGACCTCTGTCATCATTTTAAGTGGGGGAACTTGCACAATCGGTGGCTGACTAAATACTTTTTTGCCCCACTGTATTTAGATTGTAAAAATACATTCAGAAATGTATCATAATTTCACAAATATTTGTCTGTTATTTGAGAGATTGATCTGTTAAATTCAAATGTAATACTATGGAAAAATATATAAAATGATTGACAATTAATGAGAATAATTAATAATTAAAGGAGTATTTGAATTATAATTTTGCTGAAAATTTCATGTCATCTAGTCTGTTTCAATAATTCAGAGGTAACAAGTGAAAATATAATTAATAGGAATAAAAACTAAAAAAAACATATAAAACATTCCACGGCCACGCTGTGCTAATTATATATTTAAAAAAATAAATGTAGAGGTAGGAATTGCAATTAATATAAATCTCAAAGTATTCACAACATTCCTGAACAGAAATAGGCCTCTGCACCTGGGGTGAGGGCGTGGCCATGAAAACAATGTTACATGCCATTGGATGTTGGGACACATAATAACATGACGCTAAGCATCGGCCAATGAATGTGAACTAACAACCACAAGGTCACGGGTATGGCTGTGGAAAGTAGTGATGGTAAACTTGATTATTTTTGCTGAATCGAGTTTGAATGAGTCACTCACCAAAGTGAATCGGATTTTTTGAGTCATTTGAGTCACTGAGTCAGTTGACCAGAGTGCAAAAAATGTACATTTTCACTCAAACTTAATTTGTTTCTCTTGTCATGTATATCCTACTAAGACGAGTGATTGAAAAAGAAAAACAACTATTTTTATGGTGCAAAAAAAGAGCAAAAAAAAATTCTAAAGGGAACATTTATTTTTATTTTATTTTAGTAGTATTTTCCTCAAATGTGTCAAATATATATTTTCCCATCTAAATGTCCACTGAGCTGTGAGCCAGGGGGCGGTAATGCGCCTTAACATTGGTTGCCAACCAAGAAGAAGAAGAAGAAGCTGTGAGCCAGGAGGGAGGGGGTGAGTGAGTCCTGAGTGATTCGCTTACGCTACGATTCAGCACAGGAAGGGAGGTGGTGAGTAGCTCAAATGTGCTGTTAGCATGTTAGCAGAGCGATGCTAATGTGAACCGAGGAGCTATTGTCTTGATGTGAGCTTCTACTCAGGGTTTTTTCTTCCAGTTCAGAGCAGAAATGTTTTTGTTAAGAAACTGGCTGTTGTTTTTTTCCCCACAGTTTTAATTATAAGCTAGATATATTTCTACTAATGAAATTAGTTTGCTAAGAGCAACAGGGATGAGTCAGTGAGTCAGTTGAATCATGATTCACGAGTCAGTAAAGTGATTCTCGAGTATTGAACGATTCATTCATGATTCGCGCATCACTAATGGAAAGCGTGCTGGAAGAGAGAGGTTGGTGAAAGATCATCCATGCAGTGCTGCAAGGCAAGTATATCAAACTCAGCTTAGTAGATTTAACTTGGAATTGCTTGACCACTATGAAATCAAATTGTAATAGGCTATACACTGACACTTGTGGTGCTTGCTCTGCAAACACAGTCCCATTCGTTCAGTTATTTTGGTAAAAGTTTGTGTTAAAGTGACAACTTACAACATATCAATACTTATCAGTTAAGTATAATCAGCATACAATGAGGCTTTTGTTTTACTCGAGTTGTTCTTTGCATATGATTACTTTGCAAATTTCTCCAAGGGAACCCAAATGGCCAGCAGCAGCCCTGAATGTGAGACTTTCAGAAAGCTAGAGCTACTTCTAAACCTGCAGGTTATGTGCCTCAAATATACCCCTTTTCGTTGCTCCAGATGTGGGGAGGCAGATGAACGTTCGAGGTGGCATCGTCCCCTTCTTTTGTGCTCAAATGTGTGTTTGCATTACATTCTTTTTTCTACGTGCTTTTGTTTATGCATAAGTGTTAGTTGTTCTTGGATTGTTCCAGGAAGGGTTATCTTTTTGTCAATAAAATCCATGTTAATGATTGAAACAATGTCTCATGTCTTATAAGTAAAATAAACATCTACAAACTGCTCAAACACAACATATGATCAAGAACTAACATAATCTTGATGTAATTATAATCAGGGGTTTTGTTTAATAAGGGTTCTTTGGGTGTTTTGTGACAGATAAAACCCACAATCTTACAGGGAGCACACTTAATTCAAACTGAAAGTCCAGTAAATATTCAGGAAATTTATGTTAAATTACACTTCAAATCTAAATTTACATGTGATATTATGTAAAATTAACAGTGAATTGTAATTTTAAAGCCAATATCTAGTTTTTTGACATGTTTTGAAAGATAAATCAAATTATTTTGTGCTGTATAATGTAGTATTACATCAAATATAATTGAATATCTAACTTTTTTACATCAAATAATGTTATTTAACCCAACTGTTAACTGTATATTTCTGTAAATTTAAGCATTATTATTTATATTGCCACATTCATTGACCTTGTTTATAGGAAATTTCATTGTTTAATCACATTAAAATGTTCCTAATTTAATGTTTAAAAGCACTTGAAAAAGGCAAAATCCCATGTAAAATTAGGGCAACAAATTGTATTTTCATTACTGAAAATAACCGTATTTTTATGAGGAAGTTATTTTCTGTTATTTTACGGTATTATTTTGGCGCCCCAGCTGCCGGAATAGTACTGTTTTTTTAAGATGTTTTTTTAACAGTGTACTAGGATCCATTACAACTAAATGTTTAGCGTATTTCTGGGGAGCAAACAGTCCGTCCATTTGTCTTTCAAATTACATAAATCTGACATATAAAAAGACAGAAATATAACAGTCAAACTGACCTGCTGCTGCCCCCTGTATTCCCAGGAGAAGAAAGAAGATGAAGGCCTTCATCTTCTTTCTTCTTTCTTCATCTTCTACATTGTGACCATAAACATCCAAACCTTTAACAGACTTTATGCGCTCGCTTGTCCAGAAAAAGCTAAAGCTAAAATGGAGAACCAGGAGAAACGTCACCATTAGCCTAGATCAGAGCCAATAGGGATTTACTCTGAGAGTAAACGTCACTTAAATCAACGAAACTGAAAGTAAAATATTTTCATATGAAAAAAAGGTTAGTTTCATCTGGTCTTTATACATTTTTATGTTATGACAGGTGTAGTTCATGTTATGTTGGGTATACACTGTATAATTTATTTTCTATTCAGGGGATAAAACCTTGTTAAGTTTCTCAGTGGAGTGATTTGTATTAATTTTAAACGCATACACTGTAAAAAAAATCAAACTTGCAATTGCTGAGCTTACAGTCATTTCTTTCACAATTCAACAATAAAAGCTGAGTTGCCCCATAAACTCAAATACATTAAGGATTTCAACTAATCCTTTAACGTTTTGGAGCAAAAGTTGGTCTCAGATGAACTTTATTGCTGGCAAAATGAATGAATTCAAGTTTTACATGAGTTGAAGCTGTTGGCGCCTTTCTGTGCCTGAGCACGCATGCGCGTCTCATATGTTTGGATACTACGGGGTCTACTTTGCACTTTTGCAAGGACTGAAAGCCACCTGGCCGTCTGCCTTAATGCGAACACGAGGCTTTTTACACCAGGAACTGGATGCTAGTGATGGGATTTCCGGCTCTTTTTAGAGAACCGGCTCTTTCGGCTCGGATCACTAAAAAGAGCCGGCTCTTTTGGCTCCGAACCAGCTCCTCAGGTTGTTTTGTTGCTTTAATTTATTTATTATTAACAATAATATAAAATTATGCATAAAAGGAATTACTAATGTAAAAAAAAAAGTGGTTTTATTTATATATGTTTATATATAAATATATGCGGTGGCCCCTAGAAACAAAGCACGTGCAAACTCCAAAACACATTTCTAGTGTTAACTGAACTTCCAAAACAGAGCTACCTAGATCACTTAAATCACACAATTGAAAGCATGTGTGTATTGTGTATTGTTTGTGTATTTATACACAAGCACTCGTAAATATTCAAATAATTTACCTTTTACTACCACACACCAAATCCGGTCGTTGGTACTTCCTGGCTTGTGTAGCCACTACACTGTGCCTAGCATCCTGGAGCACTTCTGTTGTCTTTTGTACGTGTTTTGGAGTTTTTATGTGTTTTGGAGTTTTTACGTGTTTTGGAGTTTGTACGCGCTTTGTCTCTAGGGGCCACCGTAAATATACTTTTATTTATTCGCTCCACATAAAATGTAAGAAATAAATCATATAATACAAAAACCACCTATTTATATTTCAGCTTTTAACTATTTAAATTTTCAGCTTTTTCCTTTTAAACAACACAAAACACTGCAAACCACAACACAATTAAATATAAATTAAAATATGAAAACAAACAGAAGATGCACATTCTCTGTCATATGGGCCTGCATGAATAAACTTTCTGAATTCTTTATCATCCGCAACTGAAAATAGTTGTGGATGATTACTATACCTTTCAAATGTGATGTTGTTGTCCCTGGCTTTCTTTCTCTCTCTCTCTCCCTCCCGCTCTGTTCCTGTGCTACTGCGAGTGTAACTACCGCCCCTCCCCCCTCTTCCCAGCGCAAAGCACAAGGCTCGCGTGCAGAGTGAAGCGGAAAAAAGGTGCGAGAGAGAGGCTGAGAGAAAGAAAAAAAAACAACCCCACGGCTCCCAATAAGGAGCCGGTGTTCTGAGAAACCATCCTACTTTGACAAATCGTCCTACCCGTATTATGATTTTACGGTGACTTGTGACTAAACCTAACCCTACCCTTAACCATAACCCTAACCATAACCATAACCTTAAGAAGTATTCCGGATGGGTGACAGAAAAAGAAGTTAATTTGGGTTTGGTGTTGTGCGCATGCGCGGCGTCTGCGCAGAAACATCGGCTAGGATGTTTTTTGAGGTAGGATGGATTCCCAGAACACCGGCTCCTCGTCAGCCCGGGCTAGTAATCAGGTTGTGACAAGTAAGCTCTCCAATTCTCACCCTCTTCCCTCGTATTATCCTTGCTTTTGCTTCCCTGTACACTGACACTAATCTCTACTCTCCTTTTTCCGTAATAAATGCTAATTATTGGGAATTAGCATGAAATGCAGGATTTGATTGTTTTATGCATTTATGTATTCACCTTACACATGAACAATTCCCAGTTCAAGATCAGGAGGAGACACAAACCCAGACTCAGGGAGTCATGAGAAAGTCTCAGTCCAAGCAGGAATAAATGGGAGGCTTGTGTCAGGAAGGATATTCAGTGTAAAATCGGTACCAGTTAAAGCATGAAGATCGGTCCACATTGGCGACCGTTCGGGAAATAAGATGAGAAGTACATTAAGGTTATAATATAATTATAATCTACAGGGATTTATTGCAGCGGAAACAGGCTGCAATTCTCTGGGGATCAACTGATACAGAAAAAGGCTGCCACAAATAAAAAGACAAAAACATAAAATTCCTAGATAATCTGTCGTCACCTCCTGTATTCCCAGGAGAAGCAGGAACATCAAGACCATCAACATGTAAACTTTTAAGAGACTTGATTAGTTTTATTGTCCACAAAAAGAGACTCAGTGCTTCCTGCTCAGGTGTCAAAGGTCCATCAGAGCAAATAGGAATTCATGAGAGCAAACATCAGTTATATCTGGTTTAAACTCACACATTGAACCGGTTTTTGATGGCATCATAAAATCTGTTCTTTGTGGCTCATGTTGAATTGGAAACAAAAATATCAAAAATGAATTCACTGAATTTCTGTCATGTGGCGCTCTGTGGAGGGTAGAGCAATAACTGTGTGATCACAAATTTGTGTAGTTATGGAGTCGTGATAATATATTGATTATATGTAATTATATTGTCGAAAGCATCATATTCTTTTATCCATGTCTTCTGTGGTAGTTATGTGTTAGCATTTTAAGGTACTTATTTAGTTTCAGTACAAGTCTAACGTTGGACCTACTTTCAGCTCAGCCTTCCATCTACTGTTATCATTCTCATGTAACACGCTACTACCTCTGTACTTCTCGGAAGTGAGACCCAAACAAACAAAGGATAAAGTGTCAAACAATGTTCTTAAACATAAATGTTAGCTCCTATCAGCTTTTTCTGCAGCTTCAACACTGAAAACTGTTTGACTGAAGAGAAATTTAAAACCCCTGCAGATGTTTGAACACCTGATGCTGTTATTTTCATTTCCTTTTTTTCTTGGTACTTTTAATATTTAAGTTCTAGTTACTTCATGGTTTAGTGGTCAACACGTTTTCTTTACACAGAAAACATCAATACTTTTAGACTTGAAGGTGACACAAAAACCAAATCAAACACATGGATCCAAAAACATAGTATAACACAATAGAAATGTGTTTGAACAGACAAATTACAGCCGCTTATAAATTAAAGTGAAAGCAGCATTTAACATAAGAAAAGTTGAACAAAGGATAGAAATGAAAGAGCATCGTCCAGACTGTTTTTAGGAGAGAGCTGTTCCCATAGTTTCAACAGAGGTGAAGCAGCTGCTCTAACAGTTTCTTTTGTTACCTTTACACTTCATTTTAGTTTTAAAGGCACATTATTTTGGAGTGATCCATGTCAGTGTTTGTATGCAATGCTATGACGTCTTCTCCAACATAACCAGATCATTACTGGTAACTGTTAACCTCCTTAGAGACTGCACCAAAGCAAGTGAGATTCATCTAAGCTGATATCACATTTTTCCATCATTTTTTTCATGTGAAAAGTCAGATCTCCCCTTTAGTTGCATCACTTTATAGTTTATAGTTTAGTTTATACAATAGTTTACATCATTGAAGCAAATATTCATGAAACTGTAGCTACAGTCACATAGGAAGAATAAACTCTGTGGATTCACAAGAGGACAAAAATTAAGAATATTGTGGATTTTTATTAAAAAATCATCATAACAAACATAGAAAATAAATTAACAGCAATACTTACGTTTCTAATAAACAAACACCAGATATAAAAAAAAATGTTTACAAGAGAGAGAAAAACACCCTTAAAGTACTGAAGTACGAGAAGTATTTCATCAGCATTCATTAGTGCTGAAAACACACTTCAGTCTCAAAACATTTGAAATGACATTTGAAAGAAAACTAAACAGGTTCATATAAAAAGGTGATAAATTTGTCCAACAAAATAAGGATAAAGGTAGAAAAAAATAATAAAAACTAGGAAAACCAGACAATACAGGAGGCAAAGTCAGTGAGCACACAGGGAACAAAAGGAATGAAAAATGTGTTTACAGCATTATTGAAAAGCTACTAAACACAGTGACAAAGAACTCCATCCATCCATTTCCTGTCCTGCGTTCTCACTGAGATAAAATAAGACAAGAGTGGAGCCAGTCCTCACACACCAGGGCAGAGACGAAGTAACCTTTATCATCAGATTTACAAGTTAAAAAATAGTTTACTCTAATAAATTCGGTGATTTAAAGTCTCCAGTTAAAAATGTGAAAATCCACAAATGTTACGTTAAGGGAAATAAATCACCAAACCCTGTGAGTATATAAGTGTCATAGATATAGGTGGACCTGTGTGTTTCTCTTTATGTATATCTACATTTATACAACTGATACTGGAAATATTTAATTTAAATTAAAGTCAACAAGCATGATGGAAAAACAATGATTCACAGTTTAGAGGTAACGAGGTAACAGTCCTCGTTTCAGCGCAAAAATTTACACAGAAATTTAAAAAGAAAAAACAAGAAAACATTATTTTCATTTCTGCAAATCAGCATATTTACATTGTAATACATTAAAGTCATTAAAGCAAAAGAACTGCAAATTGAGAATTTACCCACAATACTGTTAAAGCAAAAACATTTGTTCTAACTTTGTCAGCTTGGTGTTTTTGTAAACATTCTTATTGGTGTAAATATTTATCCAAACTACAGAAGTGAAACATCTGTCCTGTTCTCTTAAAAATCTCACCTAAACTTACATAAAACAGCAACAATTGTAAAACTAAATAAAAAATACCTTGTGATTTTTTTAACATCAAATCACACCAAAAAAAAACCCAGATAAAAAAGAAAAGGGGGGAAAGCGGAACACATTTTATGAAAGCTTTACAGTTTCTGGCCAACAAAAGTCACACTAATGTTTCACTGAACTGCCTTTAACTTTGATGATGGCATGCATTTACTTCATTAAGCTTATACTGTTTCACATATTTATTTTAGTGGACAGTAGATGTGTGAAAATGATGTTTCATGAACCACTTCAATAGAAACTTGAGCCTGATGACTCCTGGCATCAGGAACTTGTCCGTGTCATCAGGGAAGACAAAATGTATTAATGGAAAAATCTGTTCATTCAGTGTAGTCAGGTAGCCAGCTGACCCCACATTGATGAACGTTGACCTCCAATACATTTGAAGGCTGTTACACTACCCAGGAAAAAGTCCATTTAATGTATGAACTCACTGTGAGCAGTGATGTCTGTCATTTAGGCTTCATAAGGAATAATTTTCTCTTGGACCTCACGGTTTTCTACAGCTGTAGGTCGGAAACACATCGTTAGTCCACAACACTTTTACAAACAACTGACAGATCTGAAAAGACTTTTTAATCTACAGAGTGCACATAAAACTCAAAGAAAACAGATCAGAAACATTTCACTTACGAGATGGAGGTCGTTTGTCTGTAATGAAAGAAAGTAAAAAACAGGGTTTGTTAAACGTTATGTATTTAACTCTGTGATCTTGTCTTATTATCCAACAGTCATTCTCAGTAAACTCTGGCTCTGAGTCTTACTGTAATAACTGCTGGATGAAACAGTGTGATAAAGCGATGACAGACTCGACCACATCTGTATGCTTTTCAGCATCATTTTATTCACACGGTTGCTGTTAACACGCGGTTGCAGCTTTCCAGTTGCTCGCGAACATACACACCAACAACAACACTGAAATCCAGGACCCAGCACACTTTTAACCCGGCGAGGCATCTTTGCAGATGCCCTGCAGGTGCGTTCACCTCCCCTGCAGCAGCACCGCCAACCACACCCCGCCACAAACAGATTTAGTGTTCAATGTGAATAAAAGAAAGCATCAACTCAAAGTCCTACAAAATCTGCTTTGTCCTCTCACCTGTCTTCTTTTTGTAGATAATGAATACAATCACAGTGATCACAGCAAGAACACCCAGAGCAAGAATCATGTGGATGATCATGAAGAGGGAATTTCCTTTAGATCAAAGAAAAACAAATCAGAACCTGAACAGATGAAACAGGATAGAGAAGATCACCAATCAAAACAGATAACAGCACTGATTATAGACAATATGTCTGTCACTATATGCTTTACCTGTTGTTCATATCTGAATATATTCACTGTGTCGGTGCTTATTTACCCACATTTAACTCTGATGTCTTTGTGTCTCTTGCCCACTGAACTTCTGAGAATAAAAATATCCTTTTTAATTTAGTCAGTAAACTTGATTCCAAAATCAAATCATTACCTCTACTCGTCTTATAAAACTCTGGAGTAACTATACTCTGTTAACTGTGGCTGCTCATTCACAAGGTAAAACATGATTTGGGAAAAAGCATTAGTGTTTGGCAAAGAGTCTTAAATTCCTTTTATGTTCTTAGTTTGGAAATACAACTCACTTTTATTTTCAGCAGGTTGATGGGAAGATAGGAAACATGTCCCAGTCTAGACTTTAAGTGTGAAATAAGCTGACAAAATCTTTTAACACATAAAACTGCATGAACTGCCCTTTACTATGCACTATTACTATATTACAGTAAACTAAATGTGTGCTTCTGACCTTCATCACTTCTGAGTGCAGACTGACCTTCATTGGTTCTGATCACTGCTCTGTCCAGTCTGGTGATGATGTCCTTATTCACACCACAGAGCTGAAACATACAATCGTAGCTCCTCCAGTCCTCAGGTTTGACTGATGAAAGATCCAGATCAGCAGAAATCTGGAGGGTCCCATCATTGTTGGGCAGGATCTCTCCTCTGTTCACACCCTCATGAAGCTCTTTCCCATCTTTCCTCCAGAACAGTTTGGCTTTGTGTGGATAGAAACCTGTAGCGTGGCAGGTGATTGGAGAGGAGGAAGACTTCTGGAGGAAAGACACTGAGGGAAGAACTGTTGAAAAAATATAAGTGTTCGTTATTGTTATTATTACAAATTGTATGTTTGTTGACAATCAATCAACCTATAGCTGATTGATTGTCTTTCCAAGTCCAGTTAAAATCCAGTGTTATTGCACCTGTTCTCCTCAGAGAGCTCCCTGAATAGTTCAGATACTTCTTCAGCCACTCGGGACAAATGTGAGTGAAGTAGTTCTTCTGTCTGGCTGAGAGAGCTCTGTCAGAGTCGTACTTTTGTTTAGTGATGACTGCCTGCTGCTTTGGAGCGATCCACGTCTCTGTCTTAAGGTCAAACGCCAAAAGGTCCTCGCCATCGTAACCCAGCTGATCATAGCCGGTCACATTATTTGTTTCAGTATCCCATTCACAGCCATACATCTCCTGATAAACATGCACACCTGAAAGACAGAAACAGTACAGTGAACCAGAGCAAAGCTGCAGCACAGTCTCATCTCAATACAGACACATCAACCAATCGACAGTCACTGAAACAGAGGATCTACTGTTTCTCCTGCTGTTTACTGGTTCAGTGGAAACTAATTAAAACAAACTCTCATCAACAGAGTTTAAACTTTAAAAAAACAGAAACAGACTGAGATGCTACACTCTGAGTCCCTATCTAACCTGCACTTCTATAGACATATATAAATAGGACTACAGGTTACACGCCTATATACATAATATATAGGCACATACAGTATTTAAAGCTTAAACTAATCATGACAGCACGGTGGTTAGCACTGTTGCCTCACAACAAGAAGGTCTTGAGTTTAATTCCACCATCAGGCCAGGGTCTTTCTGCATGGAGCTTGCATGTTCTCCCTGTGTTTGCGGGGTTCTGCGGCTTCCTCCCACAGTCCAAAGACATGCAGTTAGTGGGAATAGGTTAATTGGAAACACTAAATTGCCCATAAATTGCCGAATGGTTGTCTTTGTCTATGTGTTAGCCCTGCAACAGACTGGAAACCTGTCTCTTGCCCTAAGAGAGCTGGGACAGGCTCCAGCAGCCCCTGCGACCCTGAAAAGGAGAAGTGAATGGATGGACTAATCGTGCTCTTTATGATTTGAGAGATGGAAGCTGCTGATTGGTTCCCATCATCAAGTGGCTGCTTTAAAAACCCTCTGCAGCAGTTGTTCCCTGGGAGTAACTGACATCAGCAGCAAACCTGTCCTTGGCCTCCAAACCCTTAGCGACAAATTGTCATGTGTGTCTTCAGTGAACTGTTGGGTTTGTATATAGTGTTGTAGATACGCTTTTAGTGAAAGCTACTGCCTGAATGCTAACAGAGGTCTGTGGTCACATCTTGTCATTTTGTCTGGGTCCTGTTTTCCTTCTCTCACCCCAACCGGTCGCAGCAGATGGCCCCGCCCCTCCCTGAGCCTGGTTCTGCCGGAGGTTTCTTCCTGTTAAGGGAGTTTGTCTTTCCCACTGTCGCCAAAGTGCTTGCTCATAGGGGGTCATATGATTGTTTTTCTATCTATCTATTATTGTACGATTTACTGTGCAATATAAAACGCCTTGAGGTGACTGTTGTTGTGATTTGGCGCTATATAAATAACATTGAATTGAATTGAATTGAATTGAATTGAATCTCAGAGCTTACAGTTTATTTGACCAATAGGAGGGGAGCAGAGAGAAAATCCTCCATCCAACTTTTTGTCTACTAAAAACTGACATGTGAAAATAAAATTGATAACAAACCAAAGACCAAATAATAAGACAGCATCCAAAGTCCTAATCAGGCCCCATCAAATCTGAGAGCCCTCATCATATCATATTATCGTCCTTCTCACACTACAGGCTTACCTGTGGTAGCAGGCCGAGCTTTAACCTCACTACTATAGGAGCGTTCCCAGTTTGGATTGCAGAGAAAGACCTGCTCTACTTTTAAGATTGGACTTCCTCTGTTTTTATAAACCACTTCTGCATCTCATTAAACTGTCTCCTGTGTGTTTGGTCCCTCAAAGTCACTGCTGCTGTCAATTAGTGCTAAACAATTAAATTAGTGTGAATGGAACATTTTTAAGTTTTAGTGGTTGAAAGTTGGATTTTATAGAAACTGAATCACAAAATCCCAGATGTTTCTAAACGCCTGTTCATTACTCACCCCCTGTTTCATTTAGGCGCTGCTTCACAAATTCAATGTTCCCTTTGAAGATCTGCTCATCCGCGATGGATGCCCGAGTCTGTCTGTCCCAGTACAGAGCTCCTTCACTCTTTGCCATCCAGTCCTGCTTGGGACTCTCTTTTTTTATTTTACTGTCATAGTACGTGAATGGCTGCCCATCTAACACGCCCACAGTCACAAACTCAGGAAAATGTGGAATTCCTGATGATGCCGTGTAGAAGTACTGCAGCAAATGTGTAACTGTGGCACAAGAAAATAACACACAGAGGAGTATACTGTTAAACATCAGAAACATGATTGTGATTATCATTAGATTTTCCATCATCATAGTTTTTATTAGAAACCTTAAAACTTGCTTTCATTAATACATTTTTGCAAACACCTCACAAATATGCAGATTTATAATAATTTGATCCATTTCAAAATGTCTTTTTATTCACTTTATCTGTGAAATATTATGTAGGTGACTATTAACATATGATGTTCACATCCTGAAATCTTTCAGCCATTACAGCATACTTTGTACAGGTGCACACACATGGTGTAAATGTCATGCTTGTTTTTTGGTTTTGCATGAGTTGTTTTATAATTTTATAGTTCTGTTTTTAATCCCTGTAGTTGTGACAGTCATTGCATTGCACTCAGTTTATATTGCCCAGGATAGCCCCATCCTGCAAGAGTTCATGCCCCAGAAGGACTCTGGCTTTGACCTATCAGGGCTAGCCTTACCAACAATAAGAGAGTGTAGCGGAAGGGATGATGAGCAAGTCATGGGACGGTTATATTTTAAAGAGATCTGGCCATGGGGGCAGCAGAAAATGTAGCAGAATTAAAATATTAGAGTTCTATAAAGATATTTTAGTGTGCTAAAAAAGCTATAATGTAGATACTATAATCATAAAAAAGTCATAAATATACTCACAAATGCACCTCTTCATAAATCCTGTTCACTGTGTTAACCAGTTTACCAGCAAAACCAAGACGCTGGCTGTTCCACTCATCTTAAACTAACTTTTATGGTTTGGGATTATAACTTCACCCACAGCTGAATTAGTTTTTTGTTTGTTAAATATAATTTTGATATTTTGTTCTTTTCTTCAATGTTTTGACCCCTTGGAAGAGGTGTTTACGTATTTACTGTTAGTTTTTTAAATTGTAAATACTTTTTTTTTTAAAGTTGTTGTTGTTGTTTGTTTGTTTTTTAACTTGCCTCTGCTTCCTTGGCTACACACTGCTATCCACCTGTTCAGAAGGTTTTTCCCTTCACATAAACACAATCCTGGTTCGGCTGTTATTATAGAAGATAACTACATGGGTCAACTCACCTGCTGCTGCTCCGGATAGTCCAAGAAAAATCACACTCAGAACAACGAAGGTCTTCATTTTTGCTTAAGAGCTGGTAGATGGACAAATTGGGAATAACTTAGAGCATCGATCTTCCAAGATTAACCTCTACTCATCCAATAACAATCAGGCAGAGCGGAGCGTCACTTAATGCAGAGGGAACGTGTTCAAGAAGATCGTTGATAAAAAATGAAAATGAAAGTAGTTTATAGCTTGTTTTTTTTTCCGTTTTGTGGCCAGAGACAGTTGAGGTGTTATTATCATCTGTGACAATTTGCACATGTCACACATTGTAAAATTCTTGGTCTTGTGTTTATCATCATCTCAGTATGTTTACCACAGTTCTGATAAAATATCACATTTCGACATGCACTGAAGTGTGACGTCAGCGATTTCAGTGACTAAATTTGAAAAAAGCTCCACCCGGTGCTAAAAACCTGAAGTGCAGTTTCTGGAGGCAAAGCTTATATCAAGGAATTATTTCATTCCCAAGCTCGAGTATTGTTTGGCCCATTTCTACCGTTGGCAAACTGATAATGTTAATCACACGCAAAGAAAGAAAGAAAAAGAAAAAGAGGTGCTGTTGTGTCCAGGTCATTTCAGTTCATTGCTAGGTGGTTTCCAGGCAACGTGGTGGCGCCATAATGTTTAACATTATTTATGCTTTTTTGGATATTAATTTGACTGTTACTCCCGTGAATTAAAATACGATGTTCAGTAAAACAACAATAACCTAACATCGATCATAGTGTTTTCTGTTGAGAGGTTGCTGGCTGATCTGCAGACATGAAAACATGGTGTTTTCTACTTTTCTGTGTGAAATGTTCATGTAGTTGATGGGAAATCACCTAAACATGACACAATTAACGGGTGCTGAATCAAATTTTTGGGAAAGTGCACTACTGTTTGGTATAATTTTTTTAATTGAAAAATGGACTGAATATGAATGTGTATTATGGGTAGATAGAAAGCACTTAACCAAGTGCTGTAGCAGTAAAGCACCTAGTCCATTTAACAAGAACTTAGTCCACTTAACAAAATGTTTCGACTTGTTATTACACTGACATTTGATGCAGTTTTTCCTTGATCACCTCATTCGCTCACATCAGGAACGTCATTCTCTCAGCCTGGGCGTCTATTGTCTTATGTAGTCTGGAAGATGAGTGGATGGTGGGGTGGGTGCAGTTTTCTCTGCGGTGGGGTTGGGTGGACTGTCCCAGGCTCTCTGGGGCCGGGGGGCACTGCTGCACTGGGCCCCGGTCTGGATGGGCCTGGGGCCATCAGTTTTATGGCCAGAGTGAGTCCAAAAGTCTACAAATCTCACAGATAACAGTTAATCATCCTGACAACCTTGGCAAACTCTGGTTTGAGGTGGGCCACTATATTTGATAAAGAAAGGTTTTTCACAACTTTGGGAGAAAAGAGTCTCAGGTGCATCCTCAGCAGTGCCAAGTTGAATTAACCCTATGTTTGGATGGGGTTGGCCATAACACTATCAGAGGTTACTTATTGATCCCAATTATTACATTTCAAATAGTATTCATCAGCATGTGCTCATACAACAAGTGGCACAAACTTTATTAGATGTAGATAATATTTGACCTCAATTTATGGGTCTTGTGATTTCGAGCATGTAGGTTAAATGCTTAACACAGTGATTCCAATATATAAAACACTACAGTATAGGTGTGTATGGTGTATACAAATATATGTGATTACATAGTATATATGTGAGTATATGTCCAGTGTATACAGGTATATATGTCATAAAAAAATCCACAACATAACTAGATCTTAACACTTCATTTTATGATGTAAATGATGAAAACCAATGAGGTCACAGTTTATGGGGGCAAATGAGGCTTGTTGATGCTCCTTATTTCAGTGCAAAATTTGTCCATAAACCTAAAAAGACAAAAATAAAATATATTAACATTCCTAGTTTAATCAAGCAATTACCTCATGTGCTTTTGAAGCACAAAAAAGAAGTAAAATAGTAAATGTAGTAATCTCACTGTGTGCAGGGTTGTTTGTCATTTGCTCTAGAGACTCAGAAAGTCAAGTCACAAACACACTGTTAGTCCACATCCTGCTCTGATCTGAAATTTTCTCAAAAATGATCCTGAAAAAGTTATTTAACATAAAATACAGAAAACATTTTATTCTGCACAGGGCATAAGGGATCAGAGAAAACAGAATAGAAACAAGTTTTACTTACGAGATGGGGGACGTTTTTCTGAATTACAAAGAAAAAATAATTTCAGTTACATTTATAAAATGTTATACATCGTATCTTTTCTCACATTGTCATGCAGCTCCTATTCTTCTGGAATTGTGACTCTGGGCCTTGTGGAGCTTATTCTGTTTTGGATAAGCCATCGAGTAAAAGGGATTTCTGTTTTTGTCTCTCACCTGTTCTCTTTTTGTAGACAATGAAACCAATTACAGCTATCACTGTGAGAACCATTGTTTCATGGTCGCGAAGATCCTGGCGAGGAAATTTCCTGTAGATGACACAACAACAAATAAACCATAACCTGAACAAATGAAACACGTTAAAAGAGACAAACTTCAGTTTGGCAATTAAATAAGAATACGGGGAAAAAAAGATACTCGCAAATTTAAATAAACAGTGAAAAGACAGCAAAGTGGGCAATAATTTGAATCAGAGCGCTCAAAACTTTAAATGTTAATATTTATTAAGAAATTAACAAATCAGCATCAGTATGAAAAATTTAATAAATTTAATAAATCTGTATACAATTAAACTTTTCATCAAACTCAAATAAAACCACGTGAACTGCACTATTTTTACAGTAAACTAAATGCGTGTTTCCTACCTTCATCACTTTTACCCTTGTTGGTCCTGATCACTGCTTTGTCCAGTTTGGTGACGATGTCCTCGTTCACACCAGAGAGCTGAAACACACAGTCGTACCTCTCCCAGTCTTCAGGTGTGACTGATGAAAGATCCAGATAAACACTCATCTGAAAGTTCCCGTCATTGTTGGGGATGATCTCTCCTTTCTCCACACCCTCATGAAGCTCCACTCCATCTTTCTTCCAGACCATCTCAGCTCTGTCAGGATAGAAACCTGTAGCGTGGCAGGTGACTGGAGAGGACGGAGTCTTCTGGAGGAGAAACACCGAGGGAAGAACTAAGGAGAGAAGAGAAAGATAGATGCTATATTACTATTATGTACATACTAATGTAATTCCTGTGGGATGTAATGTAATTTCAATGCCTTAGTTAAGCCTTTTAAAAAGCCTATGAGCATATGTAATGACAAAGAATGGAGGCTGGGAGAGCCTGGTTATAAATGTCAGAGTGTAGGTGGTGGATAAACTGGGCCAGAGAAAATTGGGGCAAAAGGAAAATATGATAAAAAAACAAAAAAAAAACAATTGTAATTAATATGTAGGAGTAACAGAGAAATCAGGAGAAAGGTAGAAAGAGAAAATGTCAATGTGTGAATGAAAATGAGAGAAAGAGAAAATGTAAGTTTTTATGTTTTTTTGATGGGGCGAGGGTGTCAATGCTTTTATGTTTTAATGGTCAGAAAAAGGAAAATATGTGTTCTGGCTACAAACCAGCATGTTATTTGATTTCACCTGTTTTCATCAGAGAGCTCCTCCCATAGTACAGATACTTCTTCAGCCACTCAGGACAAATCTGGGTGAGGTAGTTCTTCCTCTGTGTGATCAAAGCTCTGTTACTGTCCCACTTATGTTTGGTGATGACAGCCTGTTGTACAGGAGCAACCCACGTCTCTGTCTTCAGGTAAAAGCTTATAAAGTCCTCTCCATCATAACCAAACTGCTCATATCCGTTCACTTCACCTGTTTCATCATCCCATTCACAGCCATACATCTGCTGCACAATGTGAACACCTGTCAGGAAAAAAAGACTTTACATTAGGAACAACTGTAGAACACAGCATACATTAGGAATTGACAACATCTTTACAACAAAACACTGATCAACGGTCATTTATTAACAGAGGATGTTAACATCTGTTGTTTTTGGCTCAATGGAAGCCACTTACAGATAATCATCACCTGAACAGTGTGAGCATCTTAGGGAGATAGACACTGGGGAACATTTCCACATACTCTCTTTATCAAAGAAAAACAGCCTCCATAGAGACCAACACACATGTGCCTGTGCCTCGGAGCGACTGAGGGACCCTTTTTTCTTCAAGCAAATCCAAGAGTGTCAGTACTCACTGACTGGCTAGCTGGAGACTCGTGCCAGCCCTCCTGTATGCAGATTGCAGTGTGTCAACCCTCAAAGACAATTGCTGCCTGGGATCCTGTGATGCTCCAAGAAGCAATGACTGGTTGACTGTACTCACCTGTGGCTGCAAAAGGCTGGAAATTGTTCACTTATTGGCTGCTGCTTAGGAATAAACATGCAGTTTGTCCTTCGTGCCTCCCTCTTTGAACTTTGTTAACCTTTGTACATGGTTCACTTATCCTGATCCTGGGTATTAAGTTTCCATCCTCTGAAACTGCAACCAGTTATCCTTCTAACAAAATCCTCTAACTGTGAGAAACTACACACCAAACTGTCCGGAGGTTTTTCTAGAAGCTTCCACTGAAGGAGAGTTTCAGTCCAGGATTGTTTTTAATAAAAGTCAAATACTAGTTCACAATAATTGTAAAATATTCAAACCTCAGACTGATTATTCTGATCCTGCTGATTTTCTGGAGATTATTTTCTTATTAATCAATTATTGAGAAATTGTATCAAAAACAATCATCAAGGTTTCAGAGACAAAAAAAATCCTAAATATGAACAGAAAACTGCAAATATCGCAAATCTATCTTAATTATTTTGATCAACTAACCAGTTAACTGACAAATTATATCAGTTCATACAAACATGGTCCTTAAAGCTGGTTGAATTAAATTAAAGCTTCCCAGACTGTAGTTCTACATTCATTATGAATTATTATGTTAATAATTGTAATCTGTAATCTGAATGAAACATTTTCATTTGTATACAAACCTGTTTACTACTGAAAACAAAACACACTGAAAACATTAAGAGCACGTGTATCATTAAAAAAATGAAACATGAACAAACCTCCAGTTTTGTTGAAGCGCTACTTTGCAATCTCAATGTTGGCTTTGAACGTCTGCTGGGAACACCTGGAGATATCAGTGTTCCTCTCCCAGAATTGTGGGTCTACTGCACCGTTCACCCAGTCCTGTTTGGGCACCTCTCTCTCCGTGTCACTGTCATAATAATTAATCTGAACATCATCAACCATCCCAACAGTCACAAACTCTGGGAAGTTTGGGACTTGAGAGGACGCAGTGTAGAAATACTTCAGAGAGTGGGTCACTGTAAGAAACAGTTAATGTTGTGAGATCTCAGGAACACAGATTTATAAATCACATTTGATTTTTTTAAAATAAAACAATAAGAAAAACTGCAGCACGTTAAAGACATCCTGTAATAATCCTGCTGTCCCTTCAATAAACACAAAATAGATTTATGAATACCCCGCCTCTCCCCCTATGATAGCTGGGATAAGCTCCAGCGTCCCCCGCTGCCCTGGGTGAATGATTTGAACTCATTATAACTTTAATTTGACTATATTTTCATTTTCACTGTTAAAGAAAGTACACATTACTTTTAATCTGTTTTGCTTTTGTTAGCTGCTGAATTAACCATAAACTCGATTAAGTTTCTTCTTTCTTCTGAATAAAGCAGCATGACTTCTAAAGTGAGTTGTTCTCTTTTCTATTTCCATTTTTTATATCACAAATTATAGGAACTGATTTAATTCTTTTGATGTGACTGTCCAGACTTTGTTTTTTTGTTGTTGTTTTTTCAGAATTTCAGTGTTGGGTTTTCTAAATATCAATATCGATGCTTTTCTTTGTTTATTTTATTTCTCGTGGATTTTGTTAAAGCTTAAAATTGTTACAGAAAGCTTTACTTCCAATATCTTTGATTGATAATATTATCAATAAAAAGCTAATGTTAAGTAACTGATATTCTGAGAATATTATTTTAAGCATTTTGGATTTTATCTTTTATTCATTAAGTTTGCAGGTGAGTTTTCAGTTATCAAAAGCACATGGATTTATCTGTTAGTGTTAGTGACCAAGGCACATAGTGAGTTTAAAACTTCTCATTAGCGCTCACTGGTTGAGGTTGAGTGTCTTTAAATTGCAAAACTTTTCTGGCATTTCTCACTTCCAGCTTCTTATTGATCATTCAGCAGTGATACCAACATTAGCTCATGCTGGTATGTAAAGTGTATTGGCACTTTACATACATAAACTGTATTAAATTATAAAAGAAATAATTATTTAATTTGTATCTCAATTCAGTTCACTTGAATTCGATTCAATTTTATTTATACACCTCACAACAAAAGTCCCCGCTTGTGGGGATAGGTTAATTGGATAATCCAAATTGTCACTAGGTGTGAATGTGAGTGTGAATGGTTGTCTGTCCCTGTGTGTTGGCCCTGCGACAGACTGGTGACCTGTCCAGGGTGTACCCCGCCTCTCGCCCTATGACAGCTGGGATAGGCTCCAGCGCCCCCCGCGACCCTGAAAAGGAGAAGCGGGAGCGAATGGATGGATGGACAACAAAAGTCACCTCATTGCGCTGTTAATGAAGCAATAACATCAGAAAAAAACAAAGTATTCACAATAAACTCCATTTAATGACATGTGGCTCTTTATATACAGCTTATGCTGAACAAATAATTAAACATCTAACTTTTTTACAGATACTTTGTGTCAAATGAACTTTAGTGAACTTTAATGGTGAGCTGTTGTGTGAAAATGTTTTAATTCCTTGTGAAAATTAAAATGGTTCTCCGTTTTTAAAATAACAGTTTTGATTATTGTCACCAGATTAGCATCAGGCCTCCTCCCTGATGTTTTATTTGTTAGAGTGCTTGGAGAGACAGCAGAGTAACAACGTTTAAAAATGCGTCATGAACGATTTAAAGACGGGACTCGTCAAACAGTTTTCGACAGAAATCGTCAGTCAAACTGACCTGCCGCTGCTCCCTGTATCCCCAGGATAAGAAAGAAGATGATGACCTTCATTGTGACCATAAACATGCAAACCTTTGACAGACTTTATGTTTCAGTTGTCCAGAAAAAGCTAAAGCTAAAATAGGAGAAAACGAGGAGAACCAGGAGGTACGTCACCACTGGGCTCCATCTGAGCCAATAGGAATTTACTCTGACAATAAACGTCACTTAAATCTGTGGTAAACGCAGCCTTTAGGGTTATCAACGAAACTGAAAGTAAAACATCTTCATATGAACCACGAATGATGAAGAGAAGGGTTAAAGTTAGGTTCATCTGGTCATTATTATTTTTGATGTTATGACAGGTGTAGTTATGTTGGGTATACAATGTATAATTTATTTATGTATTTTTAATCTGGGGTTAGCTGTTTGGTACAGATTGCCTCTGGGGTGAGGTTACAGCGTCTTTAAAGGCACAGAACACATTTTAAAATTTGTTTTTGTGCAACTGATGAGGAATACATATCAAATGTGATTTCGCCGAGCTTCACTGAATCGTGGTGGTTTGGGATCCGTCCAGTGGATAAAACCTCGTTAAGTTTCTCAGTGGATTGATTGGTATTAATTTTAAATCAATATGTGTGGCGAGGGCCGCCTGTAAGGGGGAAAATGATGAAAACTTTCTATTAGTACGTAAAAAAAGAAAGAAAGAAAAGAAACCATAAAAAATGCTTCACAAAGTACTTATAAACGTGTTTGTTTCCTAGCATTAGTTTTGTTTTGTTTTTGGCAACACAGAATAATTCCAGTCAGCCTCTGGCCCCGCCCTCATTATTTCACGGTTTGGTTTGGTCCAGGTGTACGTTCCCAGCTGATGAGCTGGAGGGGCATGATGGTGGCTGAGTTGAGAGCACAGCTGGACTGGCCATCGGGCTGTGGGCAGACAAACAGAAGAAAAAGGTATTGAGGTGAAAAGGAACACAATTTGTCCCGTACTTCTGCTAGAATGAAAAAAAGACACAAAGCTGGAGTTATTCTGTGTCTTTACGCTGCACAGCTGCCTCTTCTCTCCCCCTCCTGTTGCTAATTCAATCATGAAACTGATCAATGATCAGCTGATCGGCTTTTCTGATGCAAGTCCTGTCTCTCTTGCTTGTTTATCGCCCACTTTGCGCCAGAAAGAGGAAACCAGCGGATGTCGCGCTAAACAACAGCAGCACGTTTAAGCTTGATCAGCTGTTGTTAGAATTTATTTAATATTACTTCTTAGTATCAGCTGATGTTTGCTGGAGCCACAGCTGTAAAGCTGCTGGTAATGATATTGGTTTGGATATCTGGTGAGAGGGAAACATGAAGATAAGACCAGGAGATGTCCTTACTGAACCATCAGAGCTGAACAGGTGATGGAGAAACAGGTTTACCTTTTAGGTGACATGGATGAGTTGAAGGGAAGTTATGAACTGTTTCTGAGAGACAAATAACACCAGGATCCTTTCTACATAGCTGACAACTGGGTGATTCTCTTTTTGCAGCAACATTTCATGTCCTTATATGAATGTGCCAAATATGTAAAACAAAGTAATTCAATTATGTGTTTAAGTGTTTGGCATTATTGAAACATAATTTAAACATAAATAGGTTCAACTCTGTCCCAGACTATTTTCTCCATGTCTTCATTCTTGTCCCACTTTCCTCTCACTTTCTGCACTGTCCTATCCACACATTCTATCTACTTTCAACTGAAGGCCAATTTCACTAAAACCACTGACAGTGTGTAACTGGACTTGTTCTTTTACACATAATGCATATAGTTCATACAAAAGGTTTGAATTAATCTGATTGAAAAGACAAAATCCAGTGCTTAACAGTATCAAGTGAGAAATCTGCAGTTTTGAGTGACAAAAGTACAAACTGCTTTGATGAGCTGTGACATTCATATGGAAAATTAATTAACACAATAGTGGTGTTTACAAAAACAATGGATGTGGATGAGGAAATACGTCACTGATTTGAGAACTGCATTAAGAGTGCTGAGTGTGCAGCTGTGTGAAGGCAGGAATAGGACCCAAATGCAAACTCGTGGAGGCGGAACTTAAACTCAAAGACCTCAGCTTTATTGCTGGCATAAGACAAAACAGAAACTAAACTGGGAAAGCTAGAAACTGAGCTTGAAACAGAACACAGAGACAAGTATGAGGGACGACGCGATGATGAACAGGAACACACGCAAACACTAAATACAGAAGGGGAACGGGCAAAGAGCAAACACCTGGGAGACATGGCTGACACTAATTACAAAGACGAGATGGGGAGGAAGCAAAACAGAATACACTGACCTTCAAAGTAAAACAGGAAACAGTGGGCACAGAACTAAACCTATACTTAACAGAAGGGCACCAGAACAAAACCTAAGAACTAGAATACAAAAACAGAAATCAACACTACAAGTCATATAAAACAGAGAAATCACAGAATAACAACAACAACAATAACAATAATAATAATAATAATAATAATAATAATAATAATAATAATACACAAAATACTTGGGTCACCAACCTAGGACTGTGACAAGAACTGCATCAAAACAGTGAAGAAAAATTGTTAACTTCTGTTGCAGCAGAAACTTTTTCTCAGAAGTTCAGTGTTGAAGATTCCTTGGTGAAGCTCACAGGCTCATTCAAACTTTGTCTGTCTTCTGTTCAGATAAAAATCAAATATTTATTAATGAGGAGGGTTTTGAAAATATAAAATACATCATGGAATGAGTGAAACCTACTGGTAAAACTCGTTCATCGTGCACATAATTAATGTTTATTTTAAAATCAGTCAATACAGCACAAACCTGACTGAATGCAGTACTTGTATCACTTACCGTTGTCACAGATAATATCTCCAGCAGAATTACCAGGTGTCTTGGACACTAAAGAAAAAAACGAAAAACATCCAGATGAAGGACTATAAAAAAAAAACTGGACAAGATAAATAAATAAAAAGATACAGTTACTTGATCACTAGTAATATGTAACATATATAATGATATACAGGATTCACTTTAAAGCCATGACTCTGACTGCTGTAATGCCTGAGCTTTATGCCAGTACTTCTTAGCAAGATAAGAACTGGCAGCTGGAGAGGTGTCCCTGATGTCTAGAGCTGGTGGGTCAAACCAGTTCCAGTGAAAAATGCAGAAATATTTTTAATTAATATGTATCGAAAAAAGATTGCAAAAGCATTCTTAGAAAGATGGCTATATGTAATGTTAACAGTTAATGTGTGAGCAGAGATCAAGTACACTTAATTTTAATAGTTTGTGATTTGCTGTTTATATTTTCTCTAGAAGGATGATCAGAAGAAGTCTTTGAACCTGGGGAGAAAAAGTAAAAGACCACGACTGTTGTTCATGTTTTTGTCATGTCAGTGACTTATTGAGGGGCATTAAAACTTTAAAAAAAATGCATTTGGTTAAGTTTCTGTCTTTTACAGGTTAGCTATCCTAGTGGAGGTGATGAGTAACAGATAATAAAACAACGCAAAATTGACATATAAACATTTTTGACATGTCAAAAAAAAAAAAAGAGTGACCAATATAGCCACCCTTCTTTTCAATAACTGTCACAAGCCTTGCATTCATGGAGTCAGTTTCTTGATCTGTAACTTTTTGAGCAGCAGCAACTACAGCCTCCCAGCAGTGGCGGTCCTAGCCCGTTTGGCGCCCTGGGCGAACACTCCCTCACCACAACATAACCTAATAGACCTACACCTTAGTTCACAGATTCACTTTGTCTAAGGTGTATTTCTGGGATTTCACACAACCCAGGATTCAAATCATGAATACATAATGGGCTTGGATTTACAACATTACGAATGAAATGTGCTCTATTTGGAAGCAGCCGCCCCCCCCTCCCCTTTCGACGGGTTGTGTGTGAGACTTTAAATCATCAAACTGTAAATTATAAATTTTAAATTGTTATTGATCCCTTTACCCCGAGTCCTAAAGTGTATATTTATTTTCTTACTCTTCTTATATATATATTGTTTGTTTACTTGCACTGCTGTAACTGGAGTCTCGTCGTCTCGTCTCTCTATAAACTGGACTGTATGCAGCGGAGATGACAATAAAGTTTACTTTGACTTCAGCAGCGAGCAGGCGCACAGAGGGCTCTCACGCTCACTTTTCGTGTATAGAATTTCAAAAAAACATCGGTGCAAATTATAAGTCTGTATCATAATGTCTGGTGTTTTTGTGTTTGTTGGTTTGTTTTTATTTTGTTTTATTTTGCGAGTTGGTTATTAGATGCTGCTCCAGCCGGCCAGAGAACCCCCCGCCGCCCCGCCCTCTCCTCCCAGTGCCGCAAGCAGCAGGCGCACCTCGCAAACGGAGGGCGCCCTTACTCCCAGCAAATGGGCGATCGGTGCCTATGCCATTCCCAATATGCGCTGGCTGACGTCGGGGCAGCATGAGTACGAGCAACTTTTTTTTTGCCAATGCCTGTGATGCTGCCCCGGGCAACCGCCCGTGTCGCCCGTATGTAAAACCGCTACTGCCTCCCAGACACTGTTCAGAGAGGTGTTCTGTTTTCCTACACTGTAAATCTCCCATTTAAGAGGGCCCATAGTTTCTCAGTAGGGTTTAGGTCAGGTGAGCGAGGGGGCCATGTCATTATTTTTTTTTTATCCTTAAAGCCTTTACTGGCTAGCCATGCAGCTAGTGCTCCATGCATATGATGGAGCATTGTCCTGCATAAAAATCATGGTCTTCTTGAAAGATGCAGATCTTTTCTGGTACCACTGCTTAGAGAAAGTGTCTTCTAAAAACTGGCAGTAGGTGATTTTGAGGCCATCTTCAACCCGAAAAGTTCCAACCAGCTCATCTTTAATAATACCAGCACATACCAGTACCCCACCCCCACCTTGCTGCCGTCTGAGTCGAAGTGGAGCTCTGTGTTCGTTACTGATCCAGCCACAGGGCCCTCCATCTGGTCCATCAAGAGTCACTCTCATCTCATCAGTCCATAAAACTTTTGAAAAATCTGTCTTCAGATATTTCTTGGCCCAGTCTTGACGTTTCAACTTGTGTGTTTTGTTCAGTCGTGGTTGAGTTTCAGCCTTCCTCACCTAGGCCATGTCTCTAAGAACTGAACACCTTGTAAATCTGGACACTCCGGGTAGGCTGCAGTTCTGGAATATGGCAGCAGGAGGATAATGGGTTCCTGGTAGCTTCACGTTTGATTCTTCTCAAATCTTTGGCAGCTAATTTTAGTCTTTTTTTCTCAAAACGTTTCTTGCGACCCTGTTTGCTATTTGCAACAAAACGATTGATGGTTCTGTGCTCACACCCCAATATCTTATCAATTTCAAGAGCGCTGCATCCCTCTGAAAGACTGAGAAAGAGAAGCTGCCTAACAATTATGCACACCTTTATATAGTGTGTTAATCTCCTTAGGCCACACCCTCACTCATTATGCAAATACAGATCACCTGATATCCTTAAATCCAATAAGCACTCAAGTTTATACAGCTTGAAGTTGGAAAATAAGCATAAAAATTATGATATGGCCATAATTCCGTAAATGGCCTGCATTTGTATAGCGCTTTTCTAGTCCATAGGACCCCAAAGCGCTTTACACTACATTCAGTCATTCACCCATTCACACACCCATTCACACACTGGCGATGGCAAGCTACATTGTAGCCACAGCCACCCTGGGGCGCACTGACAGAGGCGAGGCTGCTGGACACTGGCGCCACTGGGCCCTCTGACCACCACCAGTAAACGGACTAGATATTACAATCCTGCATTGCTTTAAGTGGAGAAAATCTTGAGGGATGGCCGTTATTAGGAAAGGCAGCCCAGAAACTTTAACAGCGGGTCCCATCGTTGTGTGCCTCAATTTCACAGGCTTGAATTGAGATTTACTCATTACTACAAATCTCATTATAATACGGTCATTAAATTAAGTCAGGTTTTCAAAGAAATTTAAAATGTACTTATACGTTTGAGGACATTTGGCTGTAAAAACAAGAAAACACATGTCAGCTGTAAATACAGGAATACTGATACCCAATCCTTCCTACACTACTGGTTACCTTTGACCATATAAATAATTATATAATTATGACACTGGTGCCCTAAACATCACTTTTGCTTCGGATGTTGCTGTGTCTGAACCCGAAACTTATTTCAATTTAGAATCTGGACAAATAAGTAAAATGCTTAAGCCATGAACTTTTTTGTCTCACCTGTTTTCTTTCGATAAATAATGGTAAAAATGGTAAATGGCCTGTATTTATATAGCGCTTTACTAGTCCCTAAGGACCCCAAAGCGCTTTACATATCCAGTCATCCACCCATTCACGCACACATTCATACACTGGTGATGGCAAGCTACATTGTAGCCACAGCCACCTTGGGGCGCACTGACAGAGGCGAGGCTGCCGGACACTGGCGCCACCGGGCCCTCTGACCACCACCAGTAGGCAACGGGTGAAGTGTCTTGCCCAAGGACACAACGACCGAGACTGTCCAAGCCGGGGCTCGAACCGGCAACCTTCCGATTACAAGGCGACCTCCCAACTCTTGAGCCACGACCCGTGTCACGGACCCGGCTCTGGAGGACTCGGGGGTCCGTGAGCAGGATGGATTATTATTATTATTATTATTAGTGTTGTTGTTATTTGGGGATGTGTGTTTTTCTGCACTATGCTGTGTTCGGGTTTCCACTCATATGCAGAGGCAGGGTGTGTACATGTGTGGCTTGAGGATGGAGAACAGCCACATGCAGGCCTGATGGGTGTGGCCCTGCAGGAGGACTGGCCACACCTGAAGTTCCTGCCACACACCTGTTGGTGATCAGGGCTCGTCGGGGGAGCTACTTAGGAGAGTGTTGGAGCTCCCACTGGCGCGGGATCATTAAGCTAAGACTCCAAGTCAGTGTTTAACGGCTGCTTCTGTATTGTCCTGCAGGTGGAACGAGGGACCAGGAGGGCAGCACGCACAGGGTGTGCAGAAACACAACTGCCGGGAGCACGAGCACGGACGTCGGAGGGGAACACACACATGGGAGTCTAGGGAGCAAAGGGGATTTATTGTGCATCTGTTACCTTCAATGTAAATAAAGTGCACTGTTTGCATCGCAGAACCATGCGTTTTGGGTCCTCATTCCCCCATATCCCCACGGTCTGCCAGCCAGACCGTGACATAATGAGTCCAGTTACAGCAAAGAGGACAACAAAAGCTTCAATGACAATATACACTCAACAAAAATATAAACGCAACACCTTTGTTACTGCTCCCATTCCCCATGGGATGGACGTAGAGACCTAAAATTCATTCCAGATACACAATATAACCATCCCTCCCAAACAGTGGTCACAAATCAGTCCAAATGTGTGGTAGTGGGCACATCTGCTATATTGAGATAATCCATCCCACCTCACAGGTGTGCCACATCAGGATGCTGATCTGACATCATGAGTAGTGCACAGGTGTACCTCAGACTGCCCACAACAAAAGGCCACCCTGGAATGTGCAGTTTTGTCTCACAGCAAAATGCCACAGATGCCACAAGCAATGAGGGAGCGTGCAATTGGCATGCTGACAGCAGGAATGTCAACCAGATCTGTCGCCCGTGCATTGAATGTTCATTTCTCAACCATAAGCCGTCTCCACAGGCGTTTCAGAGAATATGGCAGCACATCCAACCGGCCTCACCACCGCAGACCTCGTGTAACCACACCAGCCCAGGACCTCCACATCCAGCAGGTTCACCTCCAAGATCGTCTGAGACCAGCCACCCAGACAGCTGCTGGAACAATTGGTTTGCACAACCAAACAATTTCTGCACAAACTGTCAGAAACCGTCTCAGGGACGCTCAACTGCATGCCCGTCGTCCTCATCGGGGTCTTAACAGACTTGTGTGGGCAAATGCTCACATTCGATGGCGTCTGGCACGTTGGAGAGGTGTGCGCTTCACGGATGAATCATGGTTCACATTGTTCAGGGCAGATGGCAGCTGAGAATGTCCCAGTTCTTGCATGGCCAGCATACTCACCGGACATGTCACCCATTGAGCATGTTCGGGATGTGCTTGACCGGCGTATACGACAGCGTGTACCAGTTCCCACGAATATCCAACAACCTCGCACAGCCATTGAAGTGGAGTGGACCAACATTCCACAGGCCACAATTGACAATCTGATAGACTCCATGCGACGATGTGTTGCACTGCATGAGGCAAATGGTGGTCACACCAGATACTGACCGTGATTGTTTATTGGTTAAAACGTTTTTCTGTTATGTCAAATATGTGCTTTTTAACTTACGTTTACTGAAAAATATTCATATTTACCACATAAAAATAAAAGTAAATAGGAAACTGTCAAATAAAATTTACACTTATCTTTAAATTCCCACCCTCTTTCTAAAGGTTTACTTATGAAGTTTTTCTAATGAGATTTACTGTTCTTAGACTGGCTTATACCCAAAGTCTACAGCTTTTGAATCAGACCAGTAAGAATTAAGCCTTACTTTCACTGGTCCTAATCACAGCTTTGTCCAGTTTGGTGACGATGTCCTCCTTCACACCGAAGAACAACACCAAGTAAAAAGATTTCTGTTTTTGTCTCTCACCTGTTCTCTTTTTGTAGACAATGAAACCAATTACAGCAATCACTGCGAGAACAAGCGTTGCAACGATGATCAGGATGATCGTGGTGAGGGAATTTCCTGTAGATGACACAACAACAAATAAATTATATCCTGATCAAATGAAACACGTTAAAAGAGACAAACATCAGTCTGCTAATCAGATAATACAAAAAAAAAAGATGCTCGCAAATTTAAATAAACTGTGAAAAGACAGCAAACTGGACAATAATTTAAATCAGAGCACCCAAAACTTTAAATGGTAATATTTATTAAGAAATTAACTAATCAGTATCAGTATGAAAATCTTGATAATCATGTATACAACTTACACTTTTCATCAAACTCAAATAAAAGCACATGAACCGCATGATTTTTACACTAAACTACGTGCATGTTTCCTATCTTCACTTTTACCCTCGTTGGTTTTGATCACTGCTTTGTCCAGTTTGGTGACGATGTCCTCCTTCACACCGAAGAGCTGGAACACACAGTCATATCTCATCCAGTCTTCACGTCTAACAGATCCGAGGTCCAGATAAACACTCATCTGGAAGGTCCCATCATTGTTGGGAAAGATCTCTCCTTTCTCTACACCTTCATGAAGCTCCACTCCATCTTTCCTCCAGAACATCTCAGCTCTGTGAGGATAGAAACCTGTAGCGTGGCAGATGACTGGAGAAGGAGGAGTCTTCTGGATGAGAAACACTGAGGGAAGAACTGGAGAGACAGAGAAATTTTACTGATTCTCTTTTTAAACAGTTATAATAATTATAATTATTATTATTACTATTACATTGGAATATGTACAATGCTGGTATTATGATTACATTTAACAAAATAACCCTTTTTTTCACATTTTCAATTTTCCACAGCGATCATGCCTAAAACCAGAATAAATTTCAAATACAACAACCAGGTTGTGAAACAAAATTCGAACTTCAAATACAAAAACAGAATATCATGTGCAAACAAAACACACTCAACCACAAGGTACCCAGCTTGTGCTCAAGAAAATGTTATAATAGCAATTCCAATGTTTCTCTGTATTTATGAAAATATTATAAAAGAGATTTCTTACTCAAAAAAAACACACATTTAAGATGAGTTGTATTCTCCCATCTCCTTCTGCATGTTTCTTAAATGCAATTAAATATTATATTTCGCTTTATAATTACAAAAATGTAACATTGCATTACCTAAATATTCCCTTCCAAAACTTGGAGAAGACGTGGCATGAAACTAAATCAGTTCGAGTGAAACCTACCTGTTCTCTTCAGACTTTCCTGACCATAGTCCACATATTTCTTCAGCCAGTCAACACAGTCCTGAGATAAGTACTTTGTCCTCTTCGTATTCCAATCTGAATCACGATCCCACTTATTTTTGGTCATGACAGCCTGAGGTGCTGGAGTGATCCATGTCTCTGTGTTTACATCAAATGTTATGAAGTCTTCTCCATCATAGCCGTACTGGTGATATCCTCGAACATCTTCAAACTCATCATCCCATTCACAGCCATACATTAACTGGACAACGTGGATACCTGTGTGAGAGAGAAGCAAAATCATAGTGTGTTCCAAAGAAGTATTGATCCACAGACACCAAAACAGAAGAGCTGATTACTTCTTAAACAGCCAGCCGTCATGTAAGATGCAGAATGAGACAAAAAGACAGTAGCTGGGGTTGGCGAGCATAAATTTATTCTGATTTAATCTATGGAGATAACATGTCATTTTCAAACATTTAGTGATTGTTTATTATTGAGTCAGAAACACTGCAAATGAGCAGCATCTGATGGTCTCTGACTCTTCAGTGTGTGTGTTGAATCAGACTGTTCTTTATTCAGGTGTGAGTTCAGACATGAGTCCAACACAGAACAGACATATAAATAAAATGATGTTATTTACAAAAACTGGAGTAATGCAGTTGGAGAACATGTGAGTGCTGGTTTACAATGAAGATGAAAAGATAAGATAAATCTTAAACAAACCTCCAGTTTGATTGAAGCGGTGCTTTGCAATTTCAGTGTTGTTTCTGAACACCTGCTCAGCATTACTGAACCCTCTACTCTCTGTGTCCCAGTACTGTGGATCATCTTCTGTGACTTTGCTCATCCAGTCCTGTTTGGGCACAGCCCTCCTGGTGTTGCTGTTATAGTGAATCATCTGAACATCATCGATCATCCCAACAACCACAAACTCTGGGAGGCTTGGGACCTCAGAAGATCCAATGTAGAAATACTGCAGAGAGTGAGTGACTGGAAAAAAGTTATTGACAACTTAAAATCCCATGTTTCATTTCATTTTGTATATACACAATACACAGTACATAATTAATTACTTCAATAAACACTATAAAGCTGAAAATAAACCTAATAATATATTCTGAAAACATTTTTTATTCAAACTGACAGAAAAACATCCAGCAATAATTCACTTAATAGCTCAGTATGAAACGTAAATATAAACAAAACCCCAAACTTAAAACACGAAACTGAAAAACAGCTCAATTTGGGTGTTTTTGTACAGAAATGCAACCTTTGATAGCAGCATTTACAGAAACACAGAAGCTGTTTCGTTTCCACATAAGTCAAAGTATTTAGGCTATGATTAAATTTTCAAAATCCCTTATATAAACATATTTGTAGTTTATACAATGATTTGAGCTACATTTGTTTTTAGATTACACCAGGTGGGCTACATCATGTTTCTCCTGTGGAAATACATAAAAAAGTACAGACTAATGAATGTTTGCAAAGCAAGCTATAAATACACAGTTGATAGCCAGCACACGATTACTTAATGAATATGTATCAAAATAAAACTCTGCTCTTATTCTTTGAGAAGCATTAGGCCAAGACCAATCTGTGACGCCTGAACAACACTGTTTTCCGCTTCAGCACCCAACACCTACCTGCAGACACACACACTGCGCAGCAGAAGAGGAGGAGCAGAATAATCGCCCTCATTTTTAATGTGAAACAGAAATGAGAAGAGAAAACGAACAGGCTCGGTAATTACTGTAACTTCTCGATAGTCGAGAAATTTCTTGCCAAAAGTGGTCGTCTCAGAAGATGGCTGTTTTAGGGGGGCATGTACGTTTTTCAGTGTGCCTTTTGCGGGTTTACGTTTTGCACGTACGTCACGTGGGAGATGTTTTAATGATTGTATGAAGAAATATACCTCACGTGGGCTGTACTCCAGTAAGCAGATTTAGCTAACAACTCTGAGATGAGGGAAAACTCTGAGTTAGTTACAGTGGTAACAGACTTTATGTCTTAAACTTGCTAGATTGCTAGAACAGATTTTCTTAAACTAACTCCCTCTGACTCCTCCCCTCCTGCCGCAACTGAACTGCGTGACTGACACTCCGATTCATTTCCTTATTCATAACGTCGCTGTCAAAGCTAAATTATCCCACTGAAAAAAAAATTCTGCCATCTGTAAGTGAAAATTCAAGGTTATTTTCCCATAATTTCAACTTACTTAATCAACATTGTGAAAAAAAATCAAAAACAGTCAAAACAGAACAAATGAATCTGCAGCAGTTTCAATTTTTAAAAACACTGAAATCCCAGTGAGAGGTTTGTTTGCTATGAACACTTTTCAAGCCTGTGTATCTCAAATGTCAGGACAGTGATGGTGATTATGTACATATGATCAGCTAAGAATGAAATCTATGCTGCTAACTGCTTGATTCTATGGATAGTAATGCAGCTGTCAAACAGCCAGGCAATCCTCTGAAATATTTACCATACAACTCATACTCATCAATGTTCGATCATGTGTCATGTTTAATTTGTCAAAGTGATGTAAAAATCTGTCACAGTTGGAGATAAGGTAAATATTTGAGTCACTATGAGGCTGCATGCAGACACTTTGATCGTAATCTGATTAGATTTAATTTTGAAGTGTGCACACAGATTCCTTATTTAAAATAGGTCATCCTCCCAAAAGTATGCTGAAAAACATCTCAGAGCTGGCTGTGTGGCAGGGTGTGAGTAGGGAGTATCTTTGTTGACTGCTCAGATTGCTACTCCCATCATTGCAACAATTCAGTTTGTGATGTTTCCTCCCTCTTATATATTCCACAGTCAACTGTAAATGCTGTTATTGTTATTGTTATTAAGTGGGAGCATTTAGGAAACACATAAGTCCAAAACCTCCTTTATGGCATAGGTTTCCATGGCAAATGCATGTCCTGTAAGTGTAACAGCATGTCCTATAAGCCTGTACTTTTGTCCACACAGCAGTGGGATATAAATCAATATCCATCCAGCCATTCTCTTCCGATTATGATCACGTTGTTGAAAATATTTAAAACATCTCTTGCAAAATACCTCATATCCTTTCTCATGAAAAAAAATGTACATAGGCTGCAGTTCAGAGGCTTCCTAAAGTTGTTTTCTCCTGTTTAAGTATGAAGTTAGGAACAAGCGCAGAGAAAAATTCAGTTTTCTGTGCTTACTATTTATTTTGTATACATTAGCAAAAGGTCCTTCCAACAATTCAATCATTTTATAGAAATGCCGTGAAACTTTGTCCTCAGATCAAATACTATTAAATTGTTTCCATCGTAACCATACTGATAATGTCCATGCGCCTCTATAACAGGGGTCCCCAATCCCAGTCCACGAGTGCCGGTGTCCCTGCAGGTTTTAGATGTGTCCTTGATCCATCACAGCTGATATAAATGGATAAATTACCTTCTCAACATGTCTTAAAGGCTGTATCCCAATTCAGGGTCTGCAGCCTTAAAGTACGCAGCCTCAACGATCCTCAAGGGCCGCGTACTCAAAGACCACTAAGGCCGGAAGTGCGAGGCTTGTGAAATGGGACGGTCTAGCCTCCGTTGCGCTGCCCAGGTTGCCTAGCAACCATGATACTAACAGCTGGAAACGTGTCATGCACGATCTGATATCCTCGTGTCGTTCCCACATCATCATAATAAAGGTTGTTCCAGGGTCCACATTACAAGTAACCAATCACCTTCTTGTGACGCCATACTTTTGCGAGTCCGTGAACATATAGTTGTCTGTGCTGCAACATGTCTAGTTCCCATGGCTGCAAAACAAGCTC